TTTGTTTGTAGAGTCTTGTTTAATTCTCCCTCCGGTTCCCCCCTCCTGATAGTCCCGCTGCCAGGAACGCGCTTCCAGCCATTCAACGCCTGGCTTCCTCACCCCTTTCAGGCGGCCCCCAAAACATTCCCTCCTCAGAACCCCTGCACGGAGCACCCCAATAAAATAACACGTCCGGCAGCCCTTTCCCCATTCTCTTTGCTTTATTCATACCTGCTTACTACCTCCGATTTAGGGAGCTGACGCATAGAAATGCACACGTACAATTCCAATATACGTACACTTGGTTTGTTTGCCCGACTCCTTCTGCACGCACTCGGGGATTTTTTCTCTTTTGTCCACCACCTTGATCTTCAGCACCGAAACCCATCCCTGGAACATATTGGGCAATGAATAAAGGTTGGCCGGATGACTCAAAGAGTCCTTAGAATCCAGTACTGTGGACACTGCTGTTATCTTTAATTTACAGATGAGAACATTGGAAGCCCTGGAAAGGTTAAATTGTGTCTTCAAAGTTTCCAGGACCGCGTTTCGGAATCAGGATCTGACTCTCCATCAGCCTGGCCCCCGGGGCCAGCCCTGTGAGCCGCCACACCCACCCGCTGCAGCCCGGAGGGGGCCTGCTCAGCCCAGTGGTTTAGGAAACCTTGGAGGCTTTGGAAGGAGCCAGGGATTTGTGGGACATGCACAGTAGGGGCTGGGCAGAGAGAGCCAGGCAAAGGGAGAGGGAAGACTCGGTCAAGATGCCCTAAGGGGTTGAGAAAAAAAGATGCCGAGATTCCACCCTCCGCTAGAGGATTTAGCCCAAGGTGAGCAAATCCACTGGAGGTACTTAGTGCCAGAGGTTAATGCCAACTCCGATCCAGGCAGAAAAGCTTTCCACGGTATTTCCTTTCTATCTACAGAAAAGGAAATGTGATGACTCACGCAGCAGAGACAGACGACAAGCTACATATTCATACTGCTAAGAATGCAGCAGAAAAAAAAAAAGGAAAAAATGAGTAGATCAATATCAAAGGAAGACACCTAATACAAAATGAGTCTTTCAAAAACATCCTCCGCTCCAGTGTGAGTTAGTGGAGAATTTTTTTCCAAATTCCTCAGAGAACATCCTTACATTATTTCAACTGAACTAGGATATAGGAACAAAATGGGTATTGCCAAGACTATTTTATGAGAAAAATACAGTTTTGACAGATTTTAATAAAATGTATCTTTGTTGAGTACCAGCAAATCACAGAATGCAAGCATGTTATATGTTAAACTAATAACTAACATACACTAACCAAAATGATTAAATAATCAGCTCAAAAAATGTTGAGAAAGTTATCAGATTCACCATCTATTCTGGATTAAAGTGTTGGAGGGACAAGCATGTAGACTAGTCACGGGGCACCTCGGTGGCTGTCTGTTAAGCATCCGACTTCAGCTCAGGTCATGATCTTGCAGTTTGTGGGTTTGAGCCCCGTGTCAGGCTCTGTGCTGATAGCTAGCTCGGAGCCTGGAGCCTGCTTCGGAGTCTGTGTCTCCCTCTCTCTCTGACCCTCCCCTGCTCATGCTGTCTCCATCTCTCTCAAAAAAAAAAAAAAAAAAAAAGAATAGCCACACTCAGAGCTAAGACAGGAAGGGACACAGTAAAAGTCTGGAAAACTCTAATCATAGCAACTATAACAAAAGCAATAGTAACATTTGAAATCCTGAATTAGGAGTTTATATTGAAGTTGTCTAAATATAGAGACCAACTAGATGAAATAAAAACTTATTTCAACACAAAGCAGCAGCAGCAAAAATCACAAAAATCTTAGAAGCAATGAGTTCAAAGTTACAGGGTACTAGATATCGATTTTTTTAAAAATCGCACGTATCCCTAAAATTAGTGAGATAGAAAATACAGTACAAACAGATTCCATTTACAACAGACTCAAAGCCAGTTACCCTATAGATCCCATGTGTGGGGGGCACCTGGGTGGCTCAGCTGGTTAAGCGTCTTTGACTTGGGCTCAGGTCATGATCTCCCAGTTCATGAGTTTGAGTCCCAATTCGGGCTCTATGCTGACAGCTCAGAGCCTGGAGCCTGCTTCAGATTCTGTGTCTCCCTCTCTCTCTGCTCCTCCCCTGCTTGGGCTCAGTCTCTCCCTGTCTCTTAAAAATAAGTAAACATTAAAAAAAAAAAAAGATTCCACATGGGTGACATATGGCACTTATTAAAGAAACTTTAAAAGCACAATGAAAGTAACAAAGACAGACATGAACACGGCTTGCTAATCCTCACTGCTGTCTGGGAGACAGAACGCAGTAAAGAGAAACAGAAGTTGCTATGAAGAATCAATCCAATATCAAAATCCTGTCTGTATTTTTACAAAACATGACAAATTGGTTGTGACATTCAGCGCAAACGAGGTCAAGCAAGAACGTCAGAGGTTTTTTTATAAGTAATTACGAAGCCAAGAAGCTGACAGCTGTGATGACCCGAGTAGACCGAAGTGACGATTATCAAAACCTTGTAACATCGAGATCAAACCTCAAAGTCCATCGTTCATTCAACATATTTTAGGAACTATTTGTGGAGCAGCCTCTCTGTGCTATTCTGGGAACTGGGTATACAACCAGACTAGGGAAAGGTCACGGTCATGGTCACAGAGAAACAGACAATCAACAAGTCAGCAGATAAGAGGGCAGGATGGTCTCAAGGGTGGAAAGGGTGGTGAAGGCCACAGGGAAGGACTGTGGGCTGCACGTGTGGTGCCCCAGCTCTTTTGGATTTGACAACCAGAAGGCCTCTCTGAAGACGTAGCCTTTTGAGCTAAGATGTGTGGAACAGAATGGGCTTCCAAAAATAATTTCAATTGATTATATGTCAATCAAGTTGCTTTGGTGGGGGTTACCCTCCCATGTGCAAGGCTGGACTGGGGGCTGTGCTCACATAGAGGGTGCATAGGTGACCCTGGCAATTTTAACTAATTCGATCCTTGCTCTCAAATGTCTTATGATCCACATGACACACACAGACTGGGCTAGACTATTTGTAACAAGTATTCCAAAGGGCTCCTACAAATCCATAAGAAAGAAGAAACCGTGGAAAATGGGGAGAAGTCCAGAATAGTTCACAAAAAGACACAGGAAATCCAGAAAGCCAATAACTATAGGGGAAAAAATGCTCACAATAACGCAATGCAAATTAAACTATAAGATACCAAATTGCACCAATTATAATGGTGAAGAGGAAAAGGATGGAGGCCACCCAGTGTCATCCCATACCTGCCCGTCATTGCTGGGACATAGAGAGGAAGAGCCCTTTTCGAGAGCAATCTGGCAGAGCTTCTAAGATTTTAGATGAGAGGATCTGATCCTGTGACTCAGCAACAAAAATCGATGCTACAGAAATTGAAGCTTGGGGGCCTACAGGTAACTATATATAAGGATGATACAGCAGCCATGTTTCTAATGATGAAGAAGAAAAGGAAATTGTCTTATAAATCCACAAGTAGTGGGAATGATCGGATAGACCATGGTCAATACAGAACACGAAATGCACCATCAGCATTAAAGACGGAGTTCCAGGGGCACCTGGGTGGCTCAGTCGGTTAAACGTCCGACTTTGGCTCAGGTCATGATCTCGCAGTTCATGGGTTCGAGCCCTACATCAGGCTCTGTGCTGACAGCTCAGAGCCTGGAGCCTGTTTCAGATTCTGTGGCTTCTTCTCTCTCTCTCCCTGCTCCTCCCCTGCTCATGCTCTGTCTCCCTGTCTCAAAAATAAATAAACTATTAAAAATAAAAAATAAAAAAAGACAGAGTTCCCATACACAACAGATGAGCAACCACAGGGGACTTGAAGGGCTCCATAAAAACTGAGAATGCAACTCCTTCGAGATTCTATTTGTATAAACAGAAAAGACTGGAAGGGTTGCACACACTGTCAGCAGCAGTAACACCACCAGTGGGCAATCTAAGTTTGGAGGCAGGGCAAGGGGAGGGCGTGTGGGTTTTATTTGGTCCATTTTTACCAGAGGACACAAACCCAATCCAATCTAGTAAAGAAGCCGACCATCACTGTCCCAGTGGGAAGGGGAAATCTCTCTGAATCTTGAAGGAGGACTGTGTCAGCACCAAGACGATGTTTTCTGACGCAGTCATGCTTTTACAAAGGATGCCAAACGAAAATGCAGTGCAATAAATATCAGACAATAGAAAGGGGAAATGTTTGTGGCATGCATCCCCGAGAAAATCTATAAGTGATAGAAATATACAGCCGCTCCAGACCCTTTTGGGAAGGAGGTATTTACACATAAAACATAGATAAGATTAATGTAGTCAGAGCACTTACCGAGATGTCAAAGAAGAAGGGAAAAGCCTGTTAAAATGAAGAAGTACAGTGTTGCCGTGTGGAAAAGCTTAGTTTTACTCTAAGAAGAACTGCACACTGAGCCACAAATAAAACTAATAGTAGTTCATTGAAGGTATTTCTTCAGCACATACTACGTATGTCAGACAGGGTGGTTTAAACAGAGCACCTCACTTTAATCCTTACTTTTGCCACCTTAGATGATATCTCCCTTACAGATGAGGAAAGAGAGGTGCAGAGTGGTTAGGTAACCTGCCCAAAGCCACACAGCTGGTAAGCAGAGAAGCCAGAATTCAAACCCAGGACTGATTCAAAAAGCCCAAGATCTGACCTATTCTGCTTTGACCTCCTAAAACTAAAAGCTCAAGGTCAAGGGTGGTGGAGAAGGGGGCCTCAGTAAGTGCAGGCTCACAAGCAGGGCCTGCTTTGGTTTTCTGTCAGCTGCCTGCTGAGGGTCCCCAGGGCCGCGGAAGCCCATAGGCCCTGAGGGGGTCCCCCAGTCTTGCCCTCACATGGAAACTCTCACTGTGGCCACATCTGCTCTCGTCACCCTCAAGCCTGGAGACAAGACTTCTGGGCTCTGGGACAGAACTTTGCTGAGGCCGTTGTGACCACAGACCTGGGTGTTGCCACGGCGCCCACAAGGCCTGGGCGGTGGGGGAGCCTCCCCAACCTGACCCACCTGCTGGGCACCCTCAGGGCCTGCACCCCCTCACTGAGGCACGGGGCTGCCCCCACCCTTGTCTCTGGCCCCGCTGACCGGCCTGGCCTGTCACCTGCTGGGCCTCCCCCTCCCTGGTGCCAAACCTCTGGCCTCTGTACCCCCACCCCCACCCCCGCAGGGTTTCTGCCTCGTGCTCTCCCCTCACTCCCCTGGCCCTTCCTGTCCTTGCTGGCTGAACTTCTCTCTGCGCCCCCCAATTTCTTCTCCTCCCTCTGGGCTTCCTTCCCACGAGTTGGGCTGGGTCAGCCAGATCCAAGGAGGACTATGGGGCGCAGAAGGAAAAAAGGGACTGTGACCCCTCAAGAGCAGAACCCAAGCCCAAGACTTAAAAGGAGGCCTAAATCGAGGAAGAGAAGAAAAATGAAGAGGAAAAAAAAGAACGCAGATATAGAGGATCTGAAGAAGGAAGTGGTCATGGTGAGCTGAGAAGGAAGAGCTCCCCCAGCTCTCAGATCTCAGCTCCCAGCCCCCAACCCTCAGCCCCCAGCCCTCAACCCTCAGATCTCAGCCCCAGCCCCCAACCCTCAGCCCTCAGTCTCCAGTCCCCAACCCTCAGATCTCAGCCCCCAGCCCCATAGCCTCTAGCCTCCAGTCCTCAGCCCCCAAACCCCAGACCTCAACTCAGTCTCCAGCCCCCAGACCTCAGCCTTCAGCCCTCAGCCTATTAACTTCCTGCCCTGAGACCACCTCCCAGCAGGCCAGGACCACCCGTCTTCCTCAAGTGCCTCTCCCCCTCCCCTGGAAATGATCCAGGTCACCACCTGTCCCCAGTAACTCCACTGTCCCTTCAGGATGATCACAAATTAACCTTGGAAGAGCTGAGCAGCAAGTACTCTGTGGACCTGACGATGGTGAGCGAAGGAAGCCCCTGAGGGAGGCCCCCCCCCTGCCCTGCCCCGCCCCTCAGGACAGTGGAGCTGGGGGTTGGGGCCCTAACTTCCAGGTCAATGTTCCTAACCCTCCCCTCCACCCAGCGAGTTCGGGGGGAAAGGGCGAGCAGAGCACATCGATGCTCTAAGGAGTTCAGGGTCAGATGAGAGGAAGGAGGAAGGGGTGGGCAACGTCTCTCCAAACTGTGTCCCGGGTCCCCTCCCCTCTTACAAACTGTCAAGACCTCAACGAACTTTTGTGTGCATGACTTACATCTAGCGATATGAAAACTTCTTAATTCGTTGAAAAACAAGAGTAAGTCCATTATATATTAGTACAAACAATATTTTTATGACAAATCAGCTTCCCAAACAAACAGCGTTTTACATTTTTGCAAACATCTTTAATATCTAGCTTTTTCACCGAAGGCAGCTGGATGCCCCTATATTTTCGGCATTAAATCTGTTGTGATACGTGCCGTGTAGCCTTTGGGAAAGTACACTCGAGAACAGGAGTGGAAACGGTGAACCATGACTTAGCATTATTGTGAAAATCATTTGACCTTGTGGACCCCCTAAAAGGGTCTCGGGCCCCCAGGGGTCCCCAGACCACCCTTTGAGAACGAATAGTTCAACAGTAAAACCATATATTCTGACTATTCCCATTACATTCACTGTTGCTGTTACCACTAATATGAGGGCCACAAATAAAACCCTAAAAGCCCTCAAGACAGAAGCCCTTCTCCGTTCTAGAATGTCTTCACCGAAGGGATTTCATCTGGTAACCAGGGTGGAGTGCGGGAGATTTGTCCTGTTTTCATTCAAGTTGTCTGTTTTTCCGGAGAAGTTGGGGAGTGGCCGGTGGGGATTAAGGAGAGTTTGTTTTTTAATCCTCTGGTGGGTTCTACTATTGTTTTCAGTTAGAGGAAAAGCCACACCAGCTCACGCCCAGCCTCCAGCGAGAACCGATTCTTTCATGTGTTTGCTATCTTTTCCCCATTTCTAAGTTAGAGAGTCAAAGCGTGAATGTCCAAGCCTTATGGACATACAATGTTGTACCTCATCGTTGCATTAGCCTTGCATGTTCTATCATGAACAGTGAATAGTTACCTCCTCCTGGAGATGGCGTTTCATAAGGTGGGGACCCTTCTGACTTCTATCGCTGTGCCAGCCCAGGATAGGAGTTCAAAAGTTTTGTGAATCAACCCATCAACTGAAAGTCCTCCCTATGTAAACGTGCTGATGGGAGAGCGGGGTGGGGGTGGGGGTATCAGTTGTTTAAGCATCTGAGGTCATGATCTCAGATTTCATGAGTTTGAGCCCCACATCAGGCTCTGCGCTGACAGCCTGGAGCCTGCTTGGTATTCTCTCTCTTTTCCCCTTCTCTCTCTCTGCCCCTCCTCTTCATGCTGTCTCTGTCTCTCTCAAAATAAAGTTAAAAAAAAAAAAAAGAGCAAAACCCTGTGAGACTTTAAACATGCTAGAGGGGATCCTTTCTACCATGCAAATTTCAAAATCCCACCTTATCTAGAAGAGATTCCAGGGTGGCCTTCAGGGAGCTTCTTCTAGACCCACCGTGGGGCTACACATGGCACATCTGAGCCTTGCCCTAGCTGCTTCTCTGTTCATGGCCCTCCATCTTTTCCTCTTCCCCTCTCTCCACAGGGCCTTAGCCCTGAGAAGGCGCAGGAAATCTTGAACCGAGATGGACCCAATGTGCTTACCCCGCCCCCCACCAGTCCGGAATGGATCAAGTTCTGTAAACAACTGTTCGGTGGCTTCTCTATCTTACTGTGGATTGGTGCCATTCTCTGCTTCGTGGCCTATGGCATCCAGATTCATTTCAAGGAGGATGTTACCAAAGATAATGTGAGTCTGTCCACCAGCAACCCGCCAGCCCCGCTGCTCAGCCCTAACGCTCCCCTGCTCAGCAGCCTTGCATTCCTGAAGGCTTCAGTCCCGAATTCCTGGTACTGCCAGGATTTTCTGAGGGAGCCCTTGGTCCCCCCAGTTTCCTTTGGCTTTTATCTAGAAAGCTACCCACACCGCTCCCTGAGAGGCCTGGTTTCACCCAGAAACTTGCTCTCCTTTGATTATCTTCCTCAGTCATCATCGAAGCACTCTGCAGCCCCTTTCTCTTCGCCAGAGAATCTCTTCATCCCCTTCCTCCTGGTCTCCCTCCCTTACCTGCCCTCTAGGCCAAGCATAGCCCTCCTGGGTTTCTCCTGGGTCCTGTTGGCCTTCACTGTAGCTCAGGGTGAGCTACCTGCCTCAGGTTCTCCCTTAGCCCCTCCCTGGCCATTACGCTTGATTTTCTGAGGACAAAGAAGAGAAAGAAGAGCTACTGATATGCCCTGTGGTTCCCCATCCCCAGCTGTACTTGGGCATCGTACTCGCTGTCGTGGTCATCATCACCGGCTGCTTCTCCTACTACCAGGAGGCCAAGAGCTCCAAGATCATGGAGTCCTTCAAGAACATGGTGCCTCAGGTAGGATTGGTGTGGGCGGATCTAGTGAGAACGGCGTAGAATGTGACCAAACACGCAATTTTTAAGTCCCCGGAAAGTTATATCCTATGACGCGTGAGCTGAGTGAGGCTGGTGATAGGGATGCAGGTCACTCAGATTTTATTCTATCAGGCCTTACAAGTACCCTGAGAAAGACACAGCATCACCTGCGAAGCAGCTGGGTCTAGAAGGCATGACCTGCATACAATGAGCATAATCTGAAACCCTGACATTCTGTTAAAAGGGGGAGGGGGAGGTGCAAAGGAGGTTGGAGAGGCTGGATTCTTCAAATGTCGATGATCTTAAAGATAAAGAACAGCTTGGGAGTGTTCCAGATTACAGACACGACAACTGAATGCAATACCTGACCGAGACCAAGTCCTGAGCAGAAGGAGAAAATGACGCGGCTGATGTACTGGGTCATGACAAATACCGACAGTAGATTAAAGTATGGTGTCAAAGTGAAACTTACTGAAATCGCCAACCGTATCGTGGTTATTTAACATACGAATTCTTGAGCTGTGCCCACTGAAAGGTGTAGGATAGAAGATCATGATGTATGTAACTTAATCTCAGATGGTTCCGGAAAAGAAGTGCTCACACCCACACCTCGGTAGACACAGTGACCAAATACCAAGCAAGTGAGGTAAAATGTTAGCAGGTGAATCTGGGTAAATGTTTTGCAGGCATTCTTGGTACCATTTGTAGGCTTGCCACTTTTCTGATAGTTTACATAATTAAAAAAATATTTGTAAGCATCTGGAAATACTGTCACAGCAGAAAGAGGTTTCTAGGCATAGAGGTGGAAACTTGGAAAGGAACAGGGGCCAGAACTTCCCAATAGCACCAGCACGTTCTGGTGCCCTAGTGCAGGATTGCTTCCCTTTGGTGTCTATGTAAATTAATTCCTCCCTCAGGTAAGACTGCAGGGAACTATGTTTTGGTAGAACAAAGTAGGAGTTTGGAGACCATCAGTTTGCTTCTGCTGCCTAACAAGTCACCCCGAACTTAGAGGCTCAAAACAAGAAACACGGCACTTCCCACCCTCCTGTGGCGGGGCTGTTGTGATCTGGGGCGAGCCGAGCAGGGCTGGACAGTCTCAGATGACCTCATCCCCATGTCTGGGGATGGCTGATGGCGGTGACAGCTGGGACCTTTCTCCTCTGACCTCTCTTTCTCCAGGAGGCTAGTGCAGGCTTGTTCAATATGGTGACAGAGGGGTTCCTAGCAGCAGAAGGTCAAGCGCCCACGTGCAAGCACTCTTTTAAGCCTCTGCTTGCATTATGTTTCTAATGTCTTAGGAGCCGAAGCCAGCCGTATAGGCAAGCCTAAGTGTAGGGCTGGAGAAATAGACTCTATCTCTTAGGGACAGGGTCGTCAAAGTCACGTGGCAAAGGACAGACAGAGATGGTAAGAATTTGGAATCTGCCAGAGACCTTCAAGGGTGATGTGGCGAGTGATAGTGTAAGAAAGGGAGTCAGGAGGAAGGAGCCCAGGGCCAGGAGCAAGATGAGGGAAGCAGAAAGTTTTGGAAATGACCCAGCGCCACCCTCCCACAGCAAGCTATGGTGATTCGAAATGGAGAGAAGATACAGATCAGTGTAGAGAACGTGGTGGTAGGAGACCTGGTGGAGGTGAAGGGCGGAGACCGAATCCCTGCGGACCTCCGGCTCATCTCTTCACACGGATGTAAGGTGAGGAGACGGGGGAAGCTAAGGGAGGGTGCCCTGCATGGTCTTAGGGTGACCTTAGGTAGTGGCCTGGACTCGGTTAAAGAAAGCATGATCTTATCATTCAGAACCTCGAGAAGTTACAGGTGCAAATTTGAGGTTGAAGACAATAGGTGCTGGTGCGTAAATTTGTTTCTCTCTGCAAGCCAATAATGATGGTGTGGGTGGCAGATAAAGACATGTCATCTTTACAAGGGAATCTGTCTTGTCACTTTATGACCCTCCTCCCTCCCATCCCAGGTGGACAACTCCTCCTTGACTGGAGAGTCAGAGCCCCAGTCTCGCTCCCCTGACTTCACCCACGAGGACCCTCTGGAGACTCGTAACATCTGCTTCTTCTCCACCAACTGCGTGGAAGGTGAGCATCACATCATAAATTGCTTAGACTCAAATTGCTTAAACTGAAATAAAGATTTCAAGAGCCCTCTATCTTCTAAAGGCAGGCAGTAGGGTAGGTAAGAGCTGGTAAACAGGCAAGGTTCTCCATCACTCATGAGCTGTATGACCTTGGGGAAAGGTCAAAGCCATCGTCTCCACATTTTGCACCACGATGATACTGAGTCGCTATCTCATAGATGTGTATGTGAATTCAATGCAATAATGCCCAGAAAATGTTTAGCATGAAGCCTAATACGTTGGAAGTGCCCTGCAGTCATCAGCTAGTGCTATCGTAGCTGGTGAATGGACTGTGCTCTCTAAGCCGAAAATAGCATCGAAGGGCAGAAAACTGTTCAGCTCTGCAAGGTCAGTCTTCTCATGAGTTGAGTTAGCTAACATGTCACTATTCCAGCAAGGAATGGACATTGGAGATCTGAGTTACCAGATGTGCCGCTCACACTTTGTCTCTGCTCCGAGAATCTAAGACACCTTGCGCTGGGAGGCAGTTCTGGCCAAGGGTGGTAACAACAGACTCAGTATCACTGTGTCAACCTCCCCCTTCAGGGAGGCCTATGAGACTCTCAGGAACACATATGAAAGCCATTATTCGTGCTCAAGAATAAATGTTTGGGTATCTGAGAAATAGCTATTTTTTAATTGAACGCCTCAGATGTGCCAAGCGCTGCAGATGCCTCTGACTCTCACAATACTTGCACGACGGATACTATCTCTATTTTACACCTGAGAAGCTCAGGGAAATTAAATGCAGTTGCCAACAGCACAAGTCAATAGGAAAGAGGAAAATCAAGGATCTGCTATAGGTCTGTCTCCCAAAGCCCATGCTCTTTTCACAGACCCTTTTCTGGGACAAAGCTGGCTAATGACCTCTCTGTTAGGAAATTATTTATTTCAAAAATAGTTTGGGGGCATCTGGCTGGCTCAGTCAGTGGAGCATGCAACTCTTAATCTTTAGGTCGTGAGTTCAAGCCCCACATGGGGCATGGAGCCTACAAAATAAAATAAAATAAAAAGATTACAATACAATACAATAAGGGGTGCCTAGAGGGCTCAGACGGTTAAGCATCCGACTCTTGATTTTGGCTCAGGTCATGATCTCACGGTTTTGTGAGTTTGAACCGCACGTCGGACTCTGCACGGACAGTGCGGAGCCTGCTTGGGATTCTCTGTCTCTCTCTCTCTCTGCCCCTACCACACTCACGCTGTCTCTGTTTCTCTTAAATAAACTTAAAAAATATTTTTAGATTTAATTTAATTTAATTTAAATGTAAACAGAGAAAATACTATAACAGATGAGAGTAATAATAAAACTAAATAAGAATCCAACCAGAAAATAAAATCGAACGATTTTTAAATTTGGATTGGACAGAAAGAGGCAGGTGAGCAAGCTTCCTTCAAAAACACTGGATTTCTATTATTAAATTTTAGGAAAAACTTTTGCTCAGATTCGTCTTTCCAAAGTAGGTGTTTCATCAGCAAAGTGTGTGCCTCGGATGAGGGCAAAAGTGGGTGGTGGCATTCCACCCAGGAAAGAAAGTTCCAGCCGGAATGGAATAAACCACAGGGACCCAAGTTGTAGCCAAGACGGTGGAGCTAGGTCTCAGAAGCTCCTGACCGTTAAGCTGAGGGATGTCCATGCAGTTTGCAAACTAGTAGCATACCTTCAACCTTGATCCCAGACCCTCACCTCCCTACATTCACGGCCATGGCCCTGACGGGGCTGCAGGTACAGACATTTGACTCTGGGCTCTCACGCGTCTCCAAGGGGCCTGAGCTGTCTCCCTGGCAATGTGCGGGGATACGGAGGAGTTGGTCTGGCCTGGGATACAGGGGCTTGCCCATGGTCAGCCTTCACTAGGTTGGCATCAACCCATCCTGTCTCCAGACACGTGGGGTTCATTACTAAATCCTGCCTCTACATATAGAGAAACCCATAAAGGAAGAAGTGCAAAAGGAGAATGAGACCAAACTCTGGCACAAAACAGATGTAGGTAGTACCAAAGTCTACCCCTGCCCTCAAACGCAAGACCCTCTCAGTGCCCCTCAGTCATATTAGTGTCTTCTTTGACAAGGCTCAGTGGGTGCCGCTTGTGGGCAGCCAGCCAGTGTGGAGCCCGTGTGCAGAGAGCCTTGGACTGAGCCAGCCTTCCCGAGAACATGGCCCCACCAGCAGCCCTCAGGGCTGGAACCTGCTCTCTCGCCCACTCAGCTGAGGGTGACCTTGAAAATGGGCCAGCCGCTCTGAGCCACAGTGTTCATGGAGCTGTCAGAGTAGACCCACCTCTACTAAGTCACATGTGTGATTTTACATCGGTCCTTCTTAAGACCAAATTCGTCTCGATGAAGAAAAGACGGAGGCGAATATCTGTGCGCTGACTGCACCCGATCCTGTTGTAGGCCCTTTTAGTAACATCTCATCCTCACGGCCTTGTAGATGCTCTTGGCCCATTTTAAGGCCGAGAAAACCTGAGCCTCAGAAAGTGTAAGGAGCTAACTCTCCGGGTAAACAGCTACCGCGTTGCAAAGTTGAACTTCTGGCCTGAGCCCTTCGGGTTCTAAAATAAGTGCTATTTCTAGAACATGCTGCTTTTCTGGGTGATTCTGTAACTTTAGTGGTGGGGATTCCAGCCATTCTGGAAACAATTCAGGAAAAATTGTTTTGAGCAATGAACAGGGCCTTCATTTCGAGCCATGTAGGCGAGGGGCCCGCATCCCATGTGATGTCCAGGTAGGTCCCCCTTCTGAGTCATGGAGAGAAAAGCGCGGAAGCCCCTCTGTTATGACACCTCCTCTCCAGCAGAGGTCAGGCTGGCTCCAGCCAGCAGATCAGGGAGGGGCTCCGCAGAGCTCAGTTTCTCAACCTCCACACTATGGTCACTGGGGCAGGATAATTCTTCCTTGTAGGCGGAGAGGGGGATCTCCCGTCCATTGCAGGATGTAGCAGCATCCCTCCCCTCCATGCAGCAACCCCAGATGTGACAGCCAAGATGCCTCCAGACATTGCCCAACGTCTCCTGGGGGCCAACTGCCACCAACAGAGAAGCCACTAGTTTAGGGGAGAGCCAATGTCAGAGGGTAGGGCTCTAGGAGAAAGGGACCACTATTCCTGGGGATCTAGAAACTCTTCAGCTGCGGAGGGCAAGAGAAGAAACATACGGGGAACAGAAGATATTCAGATGCAGCGTTACAAAGACCCTCTTGACGCGGAAGGCAATGAAGCGATGAAATTGAAGGACTGTGAAGTCCGAGATTTTTCGGGCAAGGAGACCCTTCCTTGTATAAACAAACTGTGAGGAGAATACAACACAGCAGCCTCTCAGAGGGTCTTGAGAGTCCACCTTGCTCCTGACCACTCAGCTTTCTCCTTGTGAGAACCAAAGGCAGCAGCTTTCCCGCCTCAGACTTCCCCGTTTCTCTGCAGGAACAGCGCGGGGCATTGTGATAGCAACGGGAGACTCCACGGTGATGGGCCGCATCGCCTCTCTGACGACGGGCCTGGTGATGGGCAAGACACCCATCGCCGCGGAGATCGAACACTTCATCCACCTGATCACGGCACTGGCCATCTTCCTCGGTGTCTCTTTCTTCGGGCTCTCGCTTGGCCTGGGCTACGGCTGGCTGGAGGCTGTCATCTTTCTTATTGGCATCATTGTGGCCAATGTGCCTGAGGGGCTGCTGGCCACTGTCACTGTGAGTAGCCAAGGTGGAGGGTGGCCTCTGGGCAGACAAACCACCCCAGGGGATGAAATCGTTAGTATCTCTTTTGCTGTTGAATCTCTCAAGGGCAGGGTTCCCCTGGTGTGTATAAAGGTACCAAGCACTTTGCTCTCAAATGGCATTCACTTCCTCCGCCCACGTTTGCTGGTGCCTTCTTTTTTCTCCGTGAGTTGTGATGCAGAAGACATTAGATTCTAAGTTGTCAGCAGTGAGTTCCAATCTTGGATGTACCGGGTGGTGAACTTGGCCAAATCACTGAACATCCCCAGGCCTCAATTTAATCATCAGTTTCTAGAGGAAGGTGAACGTGGATGTAGAATCTTGTTGGAAGGGACTTCAAAGCCCATAGAGATCCAACCTTTCAACCGATGCTCAATATCCGGTGTATACCATCATCCATGAGAGATGATGAGGTGATTTCTAGTCGTGGGAAGCCCGCCCCATTTGGTCTCTGCTCATTTCAAGCCTGGGATACTGTGGCTGGATTTCATTGTGTTGAGCAGAAATATGATTTCCTGTTTGGTCCCAGTTTTCCCATCTGAAGAAACACAAAACAAGTCAATTCTCTCCCTCCTACAAACTACGCTTTCAATTGATGGTACCCACTGTGTCTCCTCAAACTCTCCGGTGGTAGGTGGAATAATCCCTTTTCCCTTAGCTGTTCTTTGCATAACATGGTCTTCAGGCCCCTGGCTTGCTGATCACCCATTTGGGAAATGCCCTAGTTTATCAATATCCTTCTTAATGTAGAAATGAGAATAAAACTCAGGGTGTGGTTGGTAGCACAAAACCTCAGGACTAGGTTTTGTCCTAGCTCATAACCCCATGATGAGAATTCTGTACTGATATAGCCATGGCCTAAGAACATATTCGGGGTTTTTTAATTTTTTTTTAATTTTTTAAATGTTTTTTATTTATATCTGAGAGAGAGAGAGAGAGAGAGAGAGAGAGAAAGACAGCATGAGCAGGGGAGGATCAGAGAGAGAGACGGAGACCCAGAATCTGAAACAGCCTCCAGGCTCTGAGCTGTCAGCACAGAGCCCGACATGGGGCTCGAACCCATGAACCTTGAGATCATGACCCGAGCCAAAGTCGGACGCGTAACTCAGCCACTCAGGCACCCCGAACATATTCGTTTTTAAAACAACCTCGATACATGCCCAACTTTCATTGAATTTGTGGTCCACATAATTAATGTCAACAAAAACCTGGTTTGGATGATTTCTCAAGTCCTTCCCAAGATGGCAATATTCCTTTTCAGTTTCATGATTCGCTCCTTGTTCTTTTTTTCTAACTACTGATCCAACCCCCTGCACATACAGCATCTCATACCACAGTGAACCATTAGCTCTTGAGGTGGTCCCCGGGACGACCGGACTTGAGAGAGCCAGGGGTGCCTCAAGTCGATTTGGAGCAGGGGCTGCTGAATAGAAAAGACAAAAGGATCCTGGGAGAGGAGAATATTCCGGGGGATAAGGTCATCTTCTATGTTACCCTGGTAAAGGAAGACACTCTTTTTCCAAAGCACTGCCAACAAAATCACTTTCCTGGTTTCCTTTATCATGGCCCCAGATGGAAATCCTGAAGACTGGGTGGGAACGAAAGGGAAAGAAGTACAAAGAATCTACAACAGCATACAAACCACCAGATTTCCCAGACACACACCCAGACAAGTAGCCGATCGCTTGTCTCCATTTATCCTCTGCCCTCCCTGTGGCCTTAGGTGTGTCTGACCCTGACCGCCAAGCGCATGGCACGCAAGAACTGCCTGGTGAAGAATCTGGAGGCGGTGGAGACGCTGGGCTCCACCTCCACCATCTGCTCGGACAAGACGGGCACGCTCACCCAGAACCGCATGACCGTCGCCCACATGTGGTTCGACAAGACCATCTACGAGGCGGACACCACCGAGGACCAGTCGGGTGATGAGTGGCCCACGGATGTGGGCCAGGAGTGCGGGACAGGGGGAGGCGAGTGGGCTGCGGGAATCTGACACAGAGAAGGTGGCTGGGCCCCAAGTGGAAAGAAGAAGCAGGCGAGGAGGAAAGGGGTGTCTCCGCTAAGTACTGGGGCGCAGAGCAGGATGGGGCTAAATCCCTGCTTTACACCCCCGCCCGCTGCTCACGAACCTCTCCCTCCTCCCCGTTCTCCCCAGGGAAAACATTTGCCAAGGGCTCAGCTACTTGGTTCATCCTGGCCCGAATCGCTGGCCTCTGCAACCGAGCTGACTTCAAGGCTAACCAGGAGACTGTTCCCATTGTCAAGGTATCGGGCCTGTGGGGAGAGGGGATGCCTCCGTGTCCAGGGCGTGCCCCGTGCCCTCCCCAGAAATCCCTTATCAGTGCTTCCCCCCAGGGTCTCCCCATCGCAGCCCTGTCCCTGTGCCACACCCTTCGGGCTTACAAACACACCCCATCCCAACAGCGGGCAACAACAGGGGATGCTTCCGAGTCAGCCCTCCTCAAGTTCATCGAGCAGTCATACAGCTCCGTGAAGGAGATGAGAGAGAAAAACCCCAAGGTGGCCGAGATTCCCTTTAATTCCACCAACAAGTACCAGGTACGCAACCCACGAAGGTAGAAGGCAGTGGGGGTGGGCTCATCGTTTAGGGAATGTCTTCGTCTTCAACCTCGTCTCTGAACAGTAGAATGGAGAGCTTGGATAACCTGCACCCTCATTCAGAGGAAGGCTGGGGGCGCCTGGTGGCTCAGTCCGTTAAGCGTCTGACTCGGGTCATGATTGTGAGGTTTGTGAGTTCGAGCCCTGCATCAGGCTCTGCATTGCCTGCATGGAGCCTGCTTGGGATTCTCTCACTCCCTCTCTCTGTCTCTGCCCCTCCCTGCCTTGCTCTCTCTCTCAAAAAATATAAATATAAAAAAATTAAAATTAAAAAAAAAAAGGAGATGGCTCACCGCAAGAGAAAATGACAAACAGGTAAAGGAAGAAGCAGGTGGTAAAGGAAGAGGTACACTGGGTCCCAAGCAGAGCAGGAGACTTAGGCGCTTGTGGAGAGAGCAGGTCGCACGTGTCCCACAGGTAGGAAAGCTGGCGGGTGACAGTCCCGGCCCAGCCTCGTGCAGCTCGCGGAGGCGTCTCCGTGGCTCCCGCCGGGCTTGCCACTATAGAATAAGGCTGGTTTGCAAGGCGCCCCCAGAAGAGCCTATTTCATTCCCGGCCTGTGGCGAGGAGGACGGGCAGACTCGGCAAGGGTGATATTTGAAAGTTACTGGGAAGGCAGATCCTAAAAGTTTTCCTCACAAGGGAAAAAAAATATGACTAAAAAAATAATAATAAAATAACCAAAGCCATATGGAGTCTGGACTTCTTAAAAACCCAATTCCCCGTCTTTTCACGTTGAACATTGAGCACGTGGGCGTTCAAGAAAGAGACCCAGAGGGTTTTGTCTCAACGGGCTTTCAGTCAGCGTAGTGAGATAGGCCTCCTGAGCCCAAACTGCAGCCTTATTTCTACTTTATCTGACGTTCAGTGGCCTCACCACCCAGACAAGAGTTGTGGGCTTGTCAGGGCCGGATTCAAGCCTCTCACTGCAGAGGTAGACCCCTTCCCCCGCACGAGTCAAAATCAAGGCAAAACAGGGGAGTCTGGGAAGCTCAGTCAGTTAAGCATCCCACTTTGGCTCGGGTCGTGATCTCACGGTTCGTGGGTTCGAGCTGAACCCTTCAGCATCGGGCTCGGTGCTGAACCCTTGCTCAGAGCCTGGAGCCTGCTTCGGATTCTGTGTCTCCTTCTCTCTCTGCCCCTCCCCTGCTCACGTTCTGTCTCTCAAAAATAAATGACTGTAAAAAATAATTTTTTAAGAAATTGAAGCAAAACACACCCATGATGTTTGTTGGGACGCCCCACAAAATAGCGACTTTCCCCAAAACCACCAGGTTAGCGCCTGTTCCGAGCTATCACGGGCAAACAGCACACTCTTCCTCAGTGGTTCCCAAGCTGGGGGTGGCCCGGCCAGCCAAGCGGCCGCCCCAACTGGGGTGCCCCGACTCCAGCTCTGAGAGCTCCGTTTCTTCCTCGCTCTCGGATTAAAAGGGAAGGAAGCTTCTCGGTTCTGATATTTCCAGAATTCTTCCACCTTTTGATCGTCATTTTCTATCAAGATGTGACTTTTTCATGACCAAGGGATGAGTTTATAAGTAGGTCATGCCATCACCTCCAATAATCTCCATAAATACTGAACAAATGCGTATTAAGCCTTCAGAAAACCAAGCTTTTTAAACCGCTTACAGCTTTCTGTTTAGACAAGTTAAGGTTTTCCCTCTTAACTGCTTAAGCAGACTTTGACTATAACTGAAAGCAATATGAAATATTTGAACGTTTCTAATGGGATGGTTTTTTTTTCTTTAATGTTTTATTTATTTCTAGGAGAGAGAGAGAGAGACAGCGTGAGCAGGGGAGGGTCAGAGAGAGAGGGAGTCACAGACTGAAACAGGCTCCAGGCTCTGAGCTGGCAGTCAGCACAGAGCCCGACGCGGGGCTCGAACCCACCAACCGCAAGATCATGACCTAAGCGGAAGTCGGACGCTTAACCGACTAAGCCACCCAGGCGCCCCTCTAATGGGATGGGTTTTTTAAGAATTTATAGTTATTTATTTTTTTAAATGCTTATTTTTGAGAGAGCAAGAAAGAGAGCACAAGCAGAGGAGGGACAGAGAGGTTGGGGGGTGACGAGGGACAGAGGATCTGAAGCAGGCCTCGCGCTGACAGCAGCGAGCCCAACACAGGGCTCGGACCCACGAACTGCGAGATCATGACCTGAGCCAAAGTCACTCACTCAACCGACTGAGCCACCCAGGCGCCCTCTAATGGGATGGTTTTAGTGGCATTTTACACACAGGCTTCCCACCGCTTGTCCTCTGGAGGGTGTAGTCCGGCTTCCTCCACACCAGTTCCAAATCCTGCTTTGTGACCTGACAGGCCACTAATAGGGACCTCCTGGCTCGTAAGAGGGGATCCATCACAGTTCTCGCTCACAGATCAGAGATCAAGGGCAAATCCAAAACCAACATGCATCTTATTTCTTTCTCCTCCTGACATGCTGTCTCCCCAGAGTCACTCCCGAATACGCCCTTGCCTGCCCCGAGCCCACCTCACTGTCCCCGACCCCAAGCTTCCTCTAGGCCCTGGGGCTTCTCAGCTACAGGGAGAGCCGCAAGGCCATTACAGTGAGCAACCTACTTCTGGGTGGTGCGTCGTGAATTTCAAAGTGCTTTGTACAAATAATTTGACCCTCGGGGGCACCTGGGTGGCGCAGTCAGTTAAGCATCCGACTCTTGATCTCGGTTCAGGCAGGTCATGATCCCACAGTTTGTGAGTTCGAGTCCCGCATCGGGCTCTGCCTTGATGGTGGGCACGGATCCTGCTTGGGATTCTCTCTCTCCTTCTCTCAGCCCCTCCCTGGCTTATGCTTTCCCTCTCTCTCTCTCAGATAAGTAAACTTAAAAAAAATAAAAACGATCTGACCTTCGAACAGCAGGTGTGAACTGCGTGGATCCACTTAAACATCGACGGTTTTCGATAATCACAGCACAGTATTGTCAGTGCATTTTCACTTGTGATTTTGTTAACACTGTCTTTTCTCACGCTCACTCTTCTGTAGGAATACAGTGTGTCGTACGTATAACAGAGAATATGTGCCAATTGACTGTTTATGTTATTGGTGAGGTTCTGGGTCAACAGCAGCCCATATTAGTAGCTAAGTTTTGGGGGAGTCCAAAGTTATATGTGGATTTTTGACGGTATGGTCTCTCCTAAAAACCCAATGAAGTCGGCAACACAGAATTGTTTTGCTTTTTAGCAAAGGAACTAAGGTTAGAGAGGTTGAATGGACTGACCTGAGGTCATAAAGCACCCCCACCGACCCCGGGACCCAGGGCTGCGGACCCTACATTTTCTTTTCCTGTCCACTCTGCTGCCTCTGCCCTGAGTGCAGAGCAGAAGCAGAGAAAGTGAGAGTCCCGGTCCAGCCCTCAGCCCCTAGTGACTAAGAAGACGGCAGATTTGTTCTAGGCTAGATTCCTGGAAAGGACGCGGGGCGGGCTCAGAAGTGGGGAGAGGGAGGGTCCGAAACAGGCTGCCTGTCGCCCTAACCTCAGAAGCTTTTCTCCCCATCCCTTGCTCCCGCCTCCTGTTGCAAGGATTCTCTCTCTCTCCTCCCCAGATGTCCATTCACCTCTGGGAGGAGGACTCCCAGACCCACGTACTCATGATGAAGGGGGCCCCTGAGAGGATCCTAGACTTTTGCTCCACTTACCTTCTGAATGGCAAGGAGTACCCCATGGATGAGAAGATGAAGAGTGACTTCCAGGACGCCTATCTGGAGCTGGGGGGCCTGGGGGAGCGCGTGCTTGGTGAGGGGCTGGGGATGAAGCCGGGAAGGGATGGCCCCACCTGGTTGAGATCTGTGGGGTGGAAAACTGAAGGTGCTGGGGTGAGCGCCGGCCAGAGACGTGGGGGCCGCTGAAGGACTGCTGTTCCCTCTGTCTCTCTCCAGGCTTCTGCTTCTTGAAACTGCCCCCCACTTTCCCCAAGGGATTCAAGTTTGATACAGAAGAAATCAACTTCCCCATGGAGGACCTTTGTTTTGTGGGGCTCATATCCATGATTGACCCTCCCCGGGCCGCAGTGCCTGACGCCGTGGGCAAGTGTCGTAGTGCAGGAATTAAGGTAAACCTCTGTCACAACTGGGAGCAACACTAGAAAGCTCTGCAGACACTAGGTTGTTCATATTCTTGCTTTAATTGAATTGATTTGTTTCCTTGAGCTTATGCTTTTTAGTCTTAAGAGATAACCTAGTAGTAAGTAAACAGGAAGTTTCTTCCGTAGTTATAACCCTATCTTGCATTGAACATTAGAATCACCAGGGCAGCTTTAAAACTGTGATGCCTGGGGGCACCTGGCTGGCTCAGTCGGTAGAGCATGTGACCCTTGATCTTGGGGTTGTGAGTTCAAGCTGCACGTTGGGTATAGAGATTACTTAAATAAATAAATAAATAAAAATCTGATAACTAGGCCATACCTTGGACCCACTAAATTGGAAACTCTCAGGGTGGGGCTCAGGCAGGCAACTGTATTTCTTTTTTAATATTTATTGTTTTTGAGAGAGAGAGAGACAGGTGTGAGTGGGGGAGGGGCAGCGAGAGGGGGAGACAGAAGCCAAAGCAGGCTCCAGGCTCTGAGCTGTCAGCACAGAGCCTGACGTGGGGCTCGAACCCAGGGACCATGAGAACATGACCGAGCCAAAGTCAGACGCTCACCTGACCAAGCCACCCAGGCACCCCTAGGCATCTGTATTTTTTAAAATATTCATGGGGATTTCCGAATGCAGGTAAGTTTGAGGACCAGCATCCTGGGACACTATGGTTCACGTGACCATCTGGGGCTTTTGTTGGAACCTGAGTCTTGGTTCAGTAGGTCTAAGTCACCCTGCCGCGAGGGGGCTGGGGGCTGGAGCAGGTGACAGCGAGAATGAGGTCAGGAGAGCCGGGCCCTCGATGTCCCTGACTCGGGGGAACGGCCGCACTAACAGGTACACAGCTGGAGTGCAAAAGCTAGAAACCAAAATGAATCGGTCGGAGAGTGAGACACGGCCCGCCAGGCAGTGGGGAGTGTGGAGGTGGGGAGTGCTCGCTGGTCAGGGGGTGCTCGGGCTTCAGCGGGGAGCTACAGAGTTACTCTGTCCTGAGACGTTCTATACCCCGCCTCCACGCCAAATTCTAAGACTGACCTACGTCCTTGGAGATTAGAGATTGACACCTTTCCCGCTCATACCTGATATTCTGGATCCCAGACTTGGGAGAGGGCAGGTGAGAGGGCGAGGTGGGGTGGGGGGGTCTCTAGGGAGGACGAGATGCTATCTGTAGAGCTGGCTTCATCTTAGACCTTTGGCTGCGGGCAGTCTGTCAGAGAGCAGCTGGGCCATGCCAAGTTCAATGATTCGTCGCCGAGAACCCAAGGATGGATGTAGGAACTATTTTGAGTGAGTTCCCTAATGACTACACGCTGCTTGCACAGGACAGTTCTCTGTAGCCACAGCTTCCTGGCAGCGCATCTGTGGCAGACGGCCGCACTGTCCTGAGCTCCCCCTGCCCTCTGAGCTCCCGCACCGCGCAGGGGGAGGCATGCGGAGAAGGGCCCGTTAGACGTTCCTGAGCTTTGAGGGGAATCACATGCGATGTTAAATGCATCTGGGAATCTGTGGGTCCCTTTAGCAAGAAGTCACAATTGCACCGGCAGGTGGGGGAGGCCTGAATAGGGGAGGGGTGGCGACAAGGGGCTGATGGCGCCTGGGTGTGTCACAGCCTGAGGCAGGTGAGCCTGAGCATGGGGAGGCTGGGGCCTTGCCGCTTTCTGGGCCAGCCAGTGTTCCGGGCACAGGTTTGCACTTCTCATCATCATTTCTCACTTCTTCTGGACCCTAAGCTGCCGGAATTTTGGCAGACTTGGTGAGAAACGTTGAGTCATCCCTTTCCCCATCGGGAAGTGTAAGACGCGCACACGATGCCACCCTCCAAGCAGGACAAAATGTAAAACGGACAAGAGGTTCCCCGAAGGTGGACCCTTTGAGGGTCAATTCCAACACGGCGCTGATGCCGAGCGGATCGATGTGACCCGGCGGCTAACAGGGATCGGATGGCGGTCCCAGGGGCCTGCGAAGTTCTCAGGAGGAAATGATGGCAAGATGGAAACTTCCCCGGGCAGAGCCATGTGCTCAGGCCTTGGGACTAAACGTGATTTAAAACACTAAAATATCCCCATCATAGCTGCCACTCGCTGAGGCTCTTGGTGCGCCGGGCTGGCCTCCTGCAAGAACATGGGGCAGGTAGAAAGGCCTTCTGTCACCAACACCGGACGACGTCACTCAGATGGCCCGGTGCGGGGGGAGGAGGGACGAGAGGCCAGTCTGCAGGAAGGAGGGACGTGGGAGCCTCGGAGGATCAGTTGGCATCAGCAAGTGGGACATGAAATGCCTCAGTCCTTGACGACACAGAAAGCGTACGTACCGTGAAGGGCGCCGTGCCCCACAGGTCCGCATCTGTCCCCCGTGTGACTTGGCGCTCTGGCAAGTTGCGTCCCAGGAACTCGCTCCAGGGACACCTGACGCTGTGCTTCTATTCCTGCGGCCTGGTGTGGAGGTGGGGCCGCCGGGCGCTACCGCAGAACAGCCCCTTGAGCAGCCAGATGGGGCCAGGAGCTGAGGGCGTCAGGATGGCCGCACACCTGTCCTACAGGGTCACCACAGGGGGCCCCTGGGAAGCCACGGGGGCCCTGTGAGCCTGAACGGTGGCCATGATGGTTTCCACGTCACCACCTGCCCCCAGGAAGCCGGGTGTGGAGACGTGCCACTCTCATGCCTACCTGCAACGAGGAGGCTCTGGAAGGCTTACAGGCTGACCTTTCCGGGGCCTCTGCTCCCGCCAGCGGCTGCATCACTCAGCCTTCTCCCTCCAGCGGAGCCTGGAAGATCGTGCGCCTGGAGGGCACCCGGGAGCCGTGGTTCCCAGGACGTGGTCTTCTTCCCCCTCATCTGATGGCTGTTTGTGGAATGATGGCTGTGTGCCAGGCTTTGCGCAAGGACAAAACTTCACAAGGGGTCACGGACACGGCCCTCCCCCGCAGAGCTCTCGGTCCCACGCAGAGAGGCGGGCACTCCCCCTGGGGAGGAGGCTAAGTGCTGACATACAGAAGGAACAGAATGCCAGACAGCTCAGGCGCCAGACCTTTGGGGAGGGAAGGGGACAGGGCTGGGGCTGGTCCCAGGCGCCCGTGAAGGGCTGGACCCGGTGAGGGGGCGTGCTATGAAGAAAGAGGCAGAGAGAGGAAGAGTGGGGATCAGCGTGCACCTGGGCCTATGTGGTGTTTTGCTGGGGCAGACGGATCATTCCAGACGTTCCTTTATTACCATTTGTTCTCTGTGTAGGTGTTTGTCTTTTGAGCTTAAAGAAGCCGGCTAGCTTCTGGAGCAAATCCAGTGAAATTCTGAATAGAGTAATGTGCCCAAATCCCCAGTTTATTCCTGAGAAACCCTGAGCCCAAACTGTTCGGAGTTTTCTGGTCCAGTGCTCCTGACCCAGTCCCAGGGGGTGAAGGCACAGCACCGCAAGTCCTTGGGGCTGAGCTACTAACTCGCCTGTGGGATGAAGGCGGTGACCTGTTAGGTCGTGGGGAGAAAGGCAAAGCATCCAGAACTCTCTGAGGATGATTCTGCTCCTCTTCCTTCCCTCCCCAACACAGGTGATTATGGTAACAGGGGACCATCCCATTACAGCCAAGGCCATAGCCAAAGGTGTGGGCATCATCTCTGAAGGCACCGAAACAGCAGAGGACATGGCCACCCAGTTCAAGGTCCCCATCAACAGCAGTATCAACCCCAGGTGGGGCCCCTAAAGAACTCAGATCTGCCGTTTTTTTCCCTCCATCCTCGGTCTGCCCCACTCTCTAAGGTTCTTGAAGGCTCGTGCGGTAGGTAGGATGTACGGGGTTTACTGATTGCAAAGTAAAAGGTAGTAGGACAATGACCACATGACTGCAGCAGTGAGTTTGCAGAAGAAGAGGGCAGAGGGACGCAGAGCAAAGGGAGGGGCGAGCGGGAAGCGGGGAAGGGCGCGGCGTGTCCACCTGGGGATGGCGGGCAGCTGGGGACACGCGAACCCTGGGCACTCTGAACTGGCTTTTGGACCCCTCTCCCTCAGGGGAGCTGAGGCCATCGTGGTGCACGGCTCAGACCTGAAGGACATGACATCGGAGCAGCTGGACGAGATCCTCAAGAACCACACGGAGATCGTGTTCGCGCGGACGTCCCCGCAGCAGAAGCTCATCATCGTGGAGGGCTGTCAGAGGCTGGTGAGGGTGACAGGGGGCCGGGGTCGCCAGCCCAGCCCAGCTCCAAACTCCTCGGGCTAGGGAGAGACTCTGAAGGGCACCCTGTCTTGAGCCCTGAGACGGGCATCCACTGGGGCCCCCTGAGAGTTTTCACGTCTCCAGAGCAGGATAGTGAAGGGCCAGGCTCCAGGACCTTTAGAAACAAGGGATGATAGGGGCGCCTGGGTGGCTTAGTCGGTTAAGCGACCGACTTTCGCTTAGGTCATGATCTCACGGTTCGTGGGTTCGAGCCCCGCGTCGGGCTCTGTGCTGACTGCCAGCTCAGAGCCTGGAACCTGTTTCAGAGTCTGCATCTCCCTCTCTCTCTGACCCTCCTCTGCTCACGCTGTCTCTCTCTCTCTCTCCTAGAAATAAATAAGAAAATTAAAAAAAAAAAAAGAAACAAGGGATGATGGGATCAGAGTGACCTTTGGGGCGGGTCCAGATGTGTGCCAGTGATGATTTCAGTCCCGCTGTGCTTCGTCCAGGGGGCCATTGTGGCGGTGACGGGGGACGGCGTGAACGACTCCCCCGCGCTGAAGAAGGCTGACATCGGCATTGCCATGGGCATCTCGGGCTCCGACGTGTCGAAGCAGGCTGCCGACATGATCCTGCTGGATGACAACTTCGCCTCCATCGTCACGGGCGTGGAGGAGGGTGAGTGGAGAGGGTGCCCGTCCACTCGGGTGACCTTGGGTGGGAGCTGGCATATGCATTGCTCTCATCCCCTTAGCCCATCATTCAACCCCCACGAGCCTGTACAGATGGGGAAAAATCAACGTAAGACAGAACTCTGTTGGATTTGGCTGCACTTAGAGCATCACTATCAGGAGCCCTTTTTCATGAGATTGAAGGGAAGTGCGGGCTTGCTAAGGAGCCCGGGCTCTGCTCTAGCATAGTACCATCTCTGCTCTCTCAAGCATGTTCAAGTGGGTCTGCAGCAGGTTCCAGAATGTGGCCAGACCTGGGACCACTCCATACGCCACAATCTCGGGGGCTCCCCAGGAACCTGTTGCCTGAATGATGCTCACGCATGGAGATCAGCTGGGGCCTGATCTAGGAACTGATGGCAAGAGCCAAATAAGTGCCCTCTTTCCCGAGGATTCTGAAGACCACTCCCACCAGTTAGCAGGAAAGCCCCAGAATTCTGCTTCCCAGGCTCCCTGCTTTCTGCCTCCAGCCATCGTACTGACACCTGTGACAGTCCACATAATAATAACAGTCCCCGCTTTACTGAGACCTACTATGGTCCGGACGCTTTGCTCAGTATTTGGTATCCATTCAACTTAATACATTTCTTGAGCCCCAACTATGTGCCAGGCTCCATTCTAGATTCTGGGACACAACAGTGGGAAACAAAAAGACACAAATTCCTTAATTTCTAGTGGAGCAAGACAGATAGTAAATAAATTGCATAAATTGCATCATATATTACAAGGAGAGAAGTGCGGTGGGGCTGGGGAAATAAAGCAGGGGGTGCAGAGAGGGGTTACAGCTTTTGAAAGGGTCATCAGGGGAGGACTCAAGCCACCCCACAAGGCAGCAGCTACTGTGGCAGAAAATGGGATTGGATCCCAAGTCCTGGCTCTTTCCACATGAGCCTTAAACTTCTAACGGCTTCCACACTGGCGTTCTCAGATGCCGCTAAGTATCTGCCAGGCCCAGCCCTCCTTCACCCTCAGAGATCAGGTGCCGTTAGCTCTGCTGGATCCGAGAACAAGGAACACCCCGGCATGGCTCACCGGTCAAGCTCGGCTCTAAGGAAGGGTGACGTAATTCAGGAGCAAGGCTGGGAGTGAGGACTGGGCTGAGGTCTAGGACCCCCGGACCCTTTCCTGGGCTGTTGCGCTGCTTTGCAGTGTTCTCCACCCAGGAGCTGGCCTGTGGGCGGTGTCCTCTCTGCGCTTCTCACGGAAAGGTGGTCATCCCCCCACCAGGCCGCCTCATCTTTGACAACCTGAAGAAATCCATCGCATACACCCTGACCAGCAACATCCCCGAAATCACCCCCTTCCTGCTCTTCATCATCCTCAGCATCCCCCTGCCTCTGGGCACCATAACCATCCTCTGCATCGACCTGGGCACAGACATGGTGAGGCGCAGCTGGGAACCTGGCTCGCGGAATTCCTGTGAGATGGACTGGGGGCAGGAAAAGCCTGTGTTCAGGGGGAGGGACAGAGCTCGCTCGAGTGACTTGTGAGTTTCCTCCTGAACTTTGTGTCCTTTGTCTTTCCTGCCCTCCAGGTCCCGGCCATCTCCTTGGCTTACGAGTCAGCTGAAAGTGACATCATGAAGAGGGTCCCGCGGAACCCAAAGACTGATAACCTGGTGAACCACCGTCTCATCAGCATGGCCTACGGACAGATTGGTGCGGCCAGAGGAATGGGGGAGGGGGGAGACTGGGGAGTGGCTGCACCCACCGGGCCGTTAGAGTTCGCTCCATTTGGAAGTCAAGGAGATGCTTTCCTGACAACAGACTGTGCTGGGCCCTGGGAACACAAAGAGCCACTGATCTCTGATCTGCCCTTGACTTCAGAGTCTAGCTGAGAAGGGACATACATAAAATGATGGCACCTTTCCAAGTGCTGAACAGTGAACATGAACATGCTAAGGAGAACAGAGCAGGGGGCTCATGAGTCAGGAGGACAGTCAGTTGGATCTTGTGTAGGAAACAGGACCCATACCTGCTATTTGAAGATGGCAGGTGTACAGTCAGCTGAGGGGGTCAGGGTCGGGGAATCGCACATGTCTGCCAGCTGAAGAGTGATTAACCAGTTTGGGGGAGCACTTACTCCTGAGAAAGAAGTGATAGAGACAATAGGGCTGTAGACACAGGTAGCATGAATCCTGGAGCCAGCCTTGAAGGATGTTTGAGAGCCGTTAGAAGTCTTTGCTGTGGACTTGCCTGTGCAGTTTTTCAGGGAGCAGGCGAGGGATGAGCAGGGAAGAGACAGGGGACGTGGGAGATCGAGAGGAGGAAACACAGAAGAAGCACAGATTCAGGAGCTAAACTTAGGTTTGAGTCCCAATTTCACCACTTAGTTCCCGTGTGACCCTAGATAAGGTTGGAAAAATCTTTTTTGTGCCTGTTTTCCCCAATGGAAGGTAAATAATGGTTTATCATTGTGGTGAGGATCCATGTCCACAGGGACTCCGTGGGCAGCCCTAAGGCCGGTAGGCAAACACTGACATCCTCTATGCCATGGCCAGGCTTGGGGAATGGAGGTGTTGACTCAGGGACAGGCAAGGGGCAGACAGGAGAGGCATGAAGAGAGCATAGGACCTGATGAGGGTCCACACGTGAGGGGAAGTGGAGAGTGAGGAGTCCAGGGCTCACTCAGTGGAAAGAGGGAGTAAATCTCCTCCAAGTTCCTTCCTGTTTTAAGATTATATGACTCAGGGGTGCCTGGGTGGCTCAGTCAGTTAGGTGTCTGACTTTGGCTCAGGTCATGATCTCCCGGTTTGTGGGTTCGAGCCCCACGTTGGGCTCTGTGCTGACAGCCATCTCAGAGCCTGGAGGCTGTTTTGGATTCTGTGTCTCCCTCTCTCTCTGACCCTCCCCTGCTCACGCTGTCTCTCTCCCTCTCGCAGAAATAAAAAGTTAAAAAAAAAAAAAAAAGATTAAACAACTCAAAGATGGCTCTGGGTTAGAGCCTAAAGACAAATGTCAGGGCTTGGACACAGGCCCTAGGTAGATGATGGGATCAGGTCACCGATGGCAAGCATCTTCAGCGTTAGAAGCTCAGACACACACCGACCCTGCTAGGAGTCAGTCCCGGCCACCACCCTTTCCATGGTCTGCCTCTTGAAGTCCTTCTCTGAAGCAGATTCTCCTGTCCTGTGATTCTGTCATTCATAGGGATGATCCAGGCTCTGGCTGGATTCTTCACCTACTTCGTGATCCTGGCTGAGAATGGTTTCAGACCTACTGATCTGCTGGGAATCCGTATCAACTGGGAAAACCAATTCTTCAATGATCTGGAGGACAGCTACGGACAGCAGTGGGTGAGTTGAGGGGTTCGGCCCTCGATGCTGACCAGTGAGAGTAGAGAAGGGAGGCACCAGACAGATAGAGGTGATGCCTCATCTCCAGTCCTACTTGACCTCCATCTCCAGTCACAAGGGCAAATGTCCTTCAAGTGAAGACTTGACATTATGGCTTCATTTCCATTCGTTCCTGCTGGCTGTCATCTGTCTGTGCCTTCCTGGATCTTTTAGCTTCCTCGGTCCTGGAGTTCTTCTTCATCAGATCAACTTTTGGAGGCTGATTTCTGTTTTTCCAGGTTCTAACCATCATTGGCCCAGACATAAATTCTGGCTCTTCTCTCCCTGTTCGCTCCCTCCCTCTGAGGGAGTTCAAACAATAGGATTTCAAGTCTGAAAACCTATTTGCTTTGTCTCCCCCTTTCTCACCTTTCTAAGCTTTTAAACCCAGAGGATGCCTCTGTGTAGTAGGCTTTCCTAAAACCCAAGACGAATGAGGTCCCAGCTGCAGCCCTCTAGCCAACACGATGTGTTTGAGAATTTTAGTGAGTATGCTTTTTTTCTGCCCGTGAACACTCCTGTCCCAATTTCTAAGACAGTAGGAGATGTGACACCAATTATTGCTGGAATCATAGGACCACAGAGGACACAAAGTCGATAGAGGACATATAGTCTATTATCATCCCTCGGTAAGTGAGGAAGCAGAGTCTGGAAGGATTCTCCGCCTTGCACAACGTCCCGCAGCATGCCCCTAGAAGAGCTAAGCGGGAGCTCCACCTGGACCCCTATCCAGCACCTTCCTCCTTCACCATGATGCCTCCAGACCACCGCTAATTGTAGGTTTCTCGAAAGTGTACTAGAATCGTGGTCATTGGCAAGGTGCCCACTGAACGCACTTGGCTTCCTCTAGCTAAGTCCCACAAGGCCATCAGATGTCAGTGTTCCCAGCAGCCAACATCACTCTGGGGGGGGGGCAATGATGCCCAAAGTCATGGTCAGCGTCCCCTCAACCCTCAACTCCAGCCTTTGTTCGTTTTATATCTTGATACCATCTCCTCGCTGCCAAGATGCAGCTTAACATACATTTATTTATAAATTAAAGGTAATTAAAATTAATTTGAGGTAACATCACATTACACCAAAGACGTCTTGAGGCATTGCACAAGGGGTTGAGAACAACTGCCCCGAGGAATAAACTTCATAAAGGAGAGTCCATGCCTCTTCCACTGCTGTGATCTTCTGATAATCACACACTGAGCAGCCCACCCAGGAAGGGTTGCACAGGCCGCTAGAAGCAAGAGTTCCTTACCTTCTAAATGCCTCTCACCTAATGGTCACCATTCATTAAGCATCTCCTATGCACCAGAACCTGTATTGGCTCTGAGGGTAGGGTAGTGAACAAATACAGTCAAGTTATTGCTCTTGGGGAGCTTATGTTCTAGTTAGGGGCAGGAGGGGAGACAGATAATAACAGAATATGTAACATACTGGGTCAATGGATTTTAAGACCGAGTAGAATCCAGGAAGTGTTGGGATTGAGACACTGGAGTGGGGGAGATGGAAAGATCAGAGTGGCAGTCAGAACAAAAGAGATGCTGGAAATTGAAATCACAGAGAAACAAGCTGTTGGGAAGGACAGGATCTGGAGTCTGCTCCTGGGGGCCCAGGGCCCAGGTGGGGAGTGGAGGGCAAACCCTGCTGGAGATGGAGTTGGGGGGCGGGGGGAGGTGTTGAGACCGTGGCAGTGGAATGATCATCCACACAGATATTTGAATCCCCAGAAACCAGGATGGGAGCGGTGTTAGGCAGTGAGTCAGAGCTAAGATCTGCTGGCGGCCACAGAGCCCGGGGGTGGTGGCAGATGACCGCCTACAAGATGAGGCCATGTGCCCTGACGTCACAAGTGTGCCCGCTGGACACATTCCTGGTGCAGCGCTTGGCTCATCAATTTCCAATCATTTCCATACAATGTTTTCTGATCATTTCAGGCTCGATCTCTCCCTCCAGGTACCACTCTGACCACATCCCCCGAGGTTTGGCACGTAGCACCTCGCTGTTGTTCAGTCCTACGTATTTGCAAATTCTTGATATCATCTACAAGTTCATTATAAACATGCTGTTTTCATCTTTCAGGCACAAGCTTCTTCTCCAGTCTAACTTAGATACCCCTCTTCCATGTTCTCATGGTCCTCAATGACCCCTCTTATAACGCACTATGAGGCTGACACGGCCAGCCTGTTTGTCTTCCCTGCTAGATTTACGTTCTTTATGTGGGAAATATGAGGGCGAGAAAGAACGACTGGAGGAGTGATCGCCTCCTCCCTGGGGCCACCCATTCGGGCATTCCCGTCTCTGCAGTCAGATGCCCTCGGCCCCACCTTCCTTTCTGAGCCATTTCCTCTAACTCCGCTATGGGGGTCTGCCTCCCCCTCACAGCACCCCTCTCATTCTAATGTGGAGATTCCCGATCCGCACCACGTGCCACTCACGGAACTAAGCTTGGGAGGGTGCTTGGAGCTCAGTGAGACAGCTGCTTGCCCTTGAGTTGTTCTCAGTGGGTCAGGAAAGCATGTGAACAACTAACTCACAACCCAGCATGAACAGTTGTGATGAGATGGTGTAAAGCGTGGGGTCCTGAAGGCCTGACCCGGCCTTGGGGTCCAGGACGGCAGGAGAGGCCCTGAGGTGCACCCACGTCCCTTCTGACAATGCCCGCCCCCCACTCTGTCCGCCCCCAGACCTACGAGCAGCGGAAGGTGTTGGAGTACACGTGCCACACAGCCTTCTTCGTCAGCATCGTGGTCGTGCAGTGGGCCGACCTCATCATCTGCAAGACCCGCCGTAACTCGGTCTTCCAGCAGGGCATGAAGTGAGTGTCCCCTGACCCCCACCCTGTCACAGCTGCACACAGGGAGCTGGCTCCCCCTACCCCTCCCTCCCTTTTCTCCGGCACACCCTCCGACCTCTCTTCCCAGAAACAAAATCCTAATATTTGGTATCATGGAGGAGACATTCCTGGCTGCGTTTCTGTCCTACACTCCAGGCATGGACATGGCCCTGAGGATGTACCCACTCAAGTGAGTAAAGGAAGGGACGCAAGCTGGCGGGGGGGGGGGGTGTGGAGGGGCAGTCCCCAACACAGGGAGAGCCTGGGACGGAAAGTGGTGTGTTGGAAAGGGAAGCACGGAGCTGGGGGCCGCCTGGATGGACGGGGCTACCCTCCGTGATGTGAGGGTCAGGGACAGTGTCAAGTGACAGCAACCCAGGAGACATGCAAATTGAGCAGACTTACTGGCAATCAACAGAGGGGCGTCTTTTTTATGGTGATGTGTGGTATAGCTGCTCAAGGATACAAATTGCTCAGAGGGGAAGTAAGCATAAAAATAGCCTAATCTAGGTGTGGCTAATTCGTGGCAAGCACCGTTTGTGAGCATACTGAAGTTCTTACTGTCCGGTACCTTGTTTTGTTCCAAACAGGCCCATGCCTTTGTGTCTTGGTTTATTTTGTTTTTCATATTAGTATGTGCTTGTTACAAAAACATTCTATTTTGAATTTTATAGGGAAAGAAAGCCAACCTGCGCCACCACCCACTCCCATTGCCCCGCCTGCAGGGGCTGCTGTTAATGATGTAGGGTGTGTTCTTCCCACTCATCTGCTACGAATTCACACACTCTGCTCACCTTTCTGTCCTTTGCAGTGTTTTACACACTGCTTTGTACACTGTAGGTGCTCCATTAATGTTTAATAAAAGACATTGGCACTGCCCTTAAATACAGATGGGCACGGGTTCGAATTCCAATTCTACTGTGCGTTGTGCTGGATGGTATGTAGCCAGTCTGAGGCTCAGCTTTACCTGTAGAGTCTCAGTAATACATACCTGGCAGAGTATTGTGAGGATTACATGAAGAAATGAGTATTATGCACCGAGCATGGCTGCTTGGGCCGTGGCGGGAGCTTTGTCCTCAGTAGCTTTGTTCTCTATTATTGTTGCCATTAACGTCAACACGCAAGTCATAGTAGGTGCAGTTGAGCATTAACCATGATCCCAAACATTCTATGCCTTCCCCGACCATAAAACACATCACCTACCACTGTATTTACATTGTACATCTTTCTATCTTCTTTCCCCTGATCACCTGAGCGCCTGGAGATCAAGGGCCATCTTGTCATCGTTTTTATTCCCCCAGTACCTGCACGGACACAGAGCAGACACGTGGCAGTTGCTGTTGAGTGAGTGGCTGGCTGGTGTGTGTGACTGCGTGTGCACGTGTGCAGTGAGCCCTGGCCAATGCCTGCGGTGGCCAATATGGCAGCCGTCATGCTTTCTTCACTCGCTAGAAGGCTCTTGAGGTATGGCTAGTGAGAGACTGACAAACCGAACCCGCCATTTTATCTAGCTGATGTAGAGTTAAAAACTCAAGTGCTGTCAGAGATTGTTCTACTCAATACACCTTTCCTGTTTGGGTTGGGCTACATTTTGAAAATCGTCAGATGACGAGCGATGTGCTGTCAGTGTAAAGTGCTCCTGGTACCCCAAAGACTTAGGATAAAAAAGAAGAAAAATAGCTCCTTAATAATGTTTATGTTGGTTCCATGTTGAAATGATGATACTTTGGATATACTGGGTGAAATAAAACCTACCGTTAGAATTACTTGTCCTCGTTTCTTTTTACTTATTTTCCTGTGGCTACTGGAAAACATGACCTCTCAAGGTGGCTCGCAGTATATTTCTATGAGACGGCACTGGTCGAGGCCACCTACCTGTCACCCAAGGGAACAAACGTGGTTCTGATCTGACTACTCCCCAGAGTCTCTCTCCCTGGCCTCTCATTACAGAAGAGGGTCAACAGGCAGAAAAGCTTTCCCATGTTTGCGATATGGACACGTATATCCATCCCTTGGTGAAATACCCCCACAGGTCTAGTCTCAGGCAGGCCCATCCTGCTCGGACAACCTGCCCTGTGTGGGTGCAAGGCTCAGACTGCCTGCGAGGCGACAGGGATCTTCCTGAGGGACCCACAGAAGCCAGGGGCATGCACGTTAGAGCGTGCACCTCTAACATGGCATGTATCGTGTTGCGTTATCAGTGGCTTCTTGTGTTTCTGTCTCCTCCCTCCCCCACTAGACTCTGGGGGGTAGGGCTCCACTACTCAACCCTGCACACAACGGGACACTTGGTTCTGCGCGCTGTCCCCTGCACCTGCTTCCGCTGGCCCCTCTCTCATTGCCCCACTGACAGGATAGCCTGGTGGCTCTGCGCCACTCCCTACAGCATCATTATATTTATCTACGATGAAATCCGAAAGCTCACCATCCGACACCATCCTGGCGGTGAGGCTCCCCGTGCCCCGCTCTCAGTGGCCACCGGCCTCCTCACCGGCTCTCCCATCCTGCCCTGTTCCTGCGGGGCCCCTTGCCTTCCTCCCCAGCCCCCCACTGCCCCGGGGCAAGTGCTGCCTGCCTCCCACCTTGACCTTGCTCCCTTCTGCCTCACGCCCCCCCCCCCCCCCCCCCCCCCCCCCGCCTGGGACCTCCCCTCCACCGTCCCCAGTTCACTCTGGTCTCCTGTCTTCCACAGGCTGGCTGGAGAGAGAGACCTACTACTGAACTCGGCAGAGGGAGAGAAGAGCTTCGCATGACGGGTGTCCCGGGGCCGGGTGGGGGTTTGGGGTGACGAGCTCGGCACATCTGAGAGGGCGCGAGTGGGGCAAAGATGGTATGGGCAGGCTGGCCTGGGCTGGACCGAGGACCCGGGGCTGGGAGACCAGGTGGGGGAAGGGAGGCCCAGCGGAAAGGCTCTGTCCTGTGAGCCAGCAGCCAGTCTAGAGAGTAAATGTTTGCAATGGCCCTCACCTGGCTGGATGTGTCCCCTGGCTTCCGGAGAGAGGGGGTCTCCCAACGTCTCCCCGGGAGCCCCGAAGGGCAGTCTCTCAGGGACCAAGTAGAGGTGGGAAGGGGTTTAACTCAAGCACCCCTGCGCCTGGAGGGCTAGCCCCCAACTCCAAGTCTGAACACCTGAAGCGAAACAAGGCCGGGACAAGTGAAGGATCAGAGACACAGGTGCAGGTGAGGGAGAAACAGCAGAGCCACGGCCTAGAGTGGGGCCCACGGCAGCCACGGCCCGGCTGGCTGGTGGACCCATCATGGAGTTTTCGTGCTAGGAAAGACCTTACTAAGTCAATGAAGAGCCTGAGGTGCAGACAGGACGTGGGGAGCATCACACGAGGAGGGTGCGTGCCTTTCCCTGGGGAAGGGCTGACGGTCCACCCTCCGCGCCCAGCTCTCCCGCCATTCTGGATCCCCGGAGCCTTGACTTTAGGTGAGGCACCCTTGCCCCTCGCACCCCAGACTCTGCACAGGGTGATAGACATTCCCCAAACCCTGGTCTACCACAGGCTACTCCTCGCTGGTCGCAGGGTCTCCTTCGGACGCGGCTCCGCCTCCCTCTTCACCCCCTTGCTGGCTGTTGCTCCCTGAGCTTCACCCTGTAGGGTCAGCCCATTGTCACACGTCTTCACAGGCTGTGCCCCTAAAGCCCGCAGGGCTGAGAAAAATGCTGAGGAAAGCTGGGGGAAATCGTAGACTGTCACCAGAAACAAAGCTTATGTGTTAAGTGACGGCGCACGTGCCGGGCAGTGGGACACTCCCCATCCATGAGTTCACACAACAAACAGATTCTTATCGGCCACCCCGTTTCTTAGATGTGGAAACCAAGGTCTGTCTGATTCCAAACCCAGTGGTCTTAGCCACTCACAGACTTAGTGCCCCAGTGCGGGCTGGGCCAAAAATATACAAGGACCAAAAAAAAAAAAAAAAAAAAAAAGAGTGAGGGAGGAAGGTCCGAGGATGGTTCTAGAGAATGAGAGGCTGTGGGCTGGCCAAGAGAGAGCCACTGTAAGGGGTCACCAGCCACTCGTCCCCTAAGAGGTCTCTCCCACTGTCAGCCTCCCCCCTCCAGGACCAGGTCCCCTAGGGACAGGGCCACACCAGCCTGGGGTCCTTCCCTGCTGCTGACGGGGCTGAACCAGACCTGGAGAATGGAGGGGCCAGGGCGTGGGGGCTGAGGGAGGACGGGGAGCACCGAGGGGCCAGCTCCTCGAGTTTCAGTAGCAGGAGCCTCGGGTGTCTGGTGGGTTAAAAATACAGAGGCCCCAACTCAGGGTCATTTGATACCAGCGGCTGAGGCTTACAAGTCCAAGGGCCTGAAGGCAGGGGCTCAGAGGAGCAGAAAGTAGGGAACCGCAGCAGGGAGAGTGTGCAGGGAGTAGGAGGGGAGGGTGCAGCTGTTGGGAAGGACTCGGTGGGCCTGGAGAGCCAAGGGCTGGGAATGGGAATGCGGTGAGAGAAGGTCTGGGAGCTGCAAGGCCAAGGTCACTTTTCACCCCATCTCACATCCTTGGGGGAGGCCACGGGTCAGCGTCCTGGGGGACAGGGCCAGGTTGCTGGGTCTCCCCTCCCCCAACATGCAGGGGAGAGTCCCGGCCCTCCCTCTGGCTGTGGGGCTGTCCGTGGCCCTCCTGTGAGGCCAGGAGAAACGTGCTGAGGCCCCTTATCCAACCGGCCCTGCTCAGGTTAGCTCTGGCCTCTCCTGTCCAGGGACAGCTGTCCCTCTTGGACCCACTCCCGCCACATTCTTGAGATTTTCTGTGGCCTTCCTTGCTTAGCAGTGCAAGGTCCACCCCACGGGAGGGGGAAAAGTTATTCGTCTAACATCATTTCATGCCCCTGCCTGAGTGCAAAATAAACCCTGTCTCTCCAGAGTCAGAGATAGCTCAGGGTGGGGGTGGAGGGCTTCCGACTTTGATCGAGCCTCTTCCATGGGCTCTCTCGTGCCTCAGTTTACCTGTGCATGGTAAGAGCCCTGGCGGGCCCGAGTAGAGGGTCCTTCCTTCTTAGCAGCCCAGAGCCCAGCTCCTGTATCGCCCCCAGGCTGGGGTGCAGGAAGTTAGAGTCCCTCCTCCCACCAGCTCTCAGGTGCGCAGAATAAATCCGCGTCCTTGGCTGGGGGTGGAGCTGAGCTCTCACCTCTTCAGGTTTCCCCGGAGTTAACCTTTCCCTTGGTGTTTACACCTAGTCCTGTTTGTAAGAATGCAGAGTCCTCCAGCCTGGGGAAGCCTCCCTCCCCACCGTGCCCCAAAGAACCCTTTGATGGGAGGGCAGAGCTTCAGCAAGATCAGAGAGAACCCCCTCCATTGCACCTCTGCAGGGAAGCCCTGAGCCAGAGCTCCTTGCCCCTCCTTCCCCTGCGCCCCGACTTGCGAGTGTTGAGTGAAGCACAGGAAACTGGCTGGGGCCGAGCCAGGTGGCCAGTCCTGAGCGAGGCTCCATCTTTTATTCAGAGAATGACCTCATCCCTGGGCCCGGCTCTTTAAAGGGAAGTGCAAGGGGTCTCTTCCTGCAGCCCAGCTTGCTTTTTACGGCCCCCTCCTCCCTCCTCTGCAGGATCGAGGAAACAGACCTCGCCCAGAGGGGCTTCCCAGGTTTTCAGACGGGAGGCGATCCAGCATTTGTGCCCCTTTTGTTCTGTATCCGTGAATTTACTCTCTGCCCCAGAATCCCACCTCTCCACCCGTTTCTCCCAGTCTGAGTACCCTTGCCCTCCCCGGGCGCTCCCTAGTTACCCCGCACCTCCCTTCCCCCAGGCCAGCATCATTTACCTCCAACTCATCTGGTCTTATTTTTAGCTCAGGCTTTTTTCCTTTCTTAATATGGCGATGAGCTTCTAGGCCGGAGAGGGGACCTTGCTGAGGAGCCCTGGACGGCGGGGAAGGGGGCGGGGGAGGGGCTCTGGGAGCCTGGGGGGCGGGGTGAGGTGTAGGAAGTGGGAGGGCCTGGGCTCTCATGGAGCTGCCCTGGCCTCAGAAGGTTATCCTCTCTCCTGCCAATCCGGGAGACATATTTAGACGGGACCAGGTGGGGGCTGAGGGTTGCCAACTAAAGGCCCCGGCTCCGGTTCCCTCCCCGCCCCCTGCGCCTATCCCTCCTCCTGACCCTTTCACTCTTGGCTCTGTCGGCAGTTTGTCCAGGACCCAGCAGTGTCCTCTGTCCGCCGCTCTGGGCCCTTCCCCTCCCCGCCCCCACCGGGAGCCCCTAACTCGGGATTCGGCACCCAGGGCCCCTCCCTGCCCCGACCGTCCTCTGCTGGACCAGGAAAGCCCTCCCGACCCAGGCCCCACTCCGTCCATGCGCGCCGCAGACAGGATGCGGGCCCGAGCCGTGCCCGGGCTGCGGCTGGCCTTGCTGCTGCTGCTGCTGGTGCTAGGGACCCCCAGGCTGGGGGTGCAGGGGGAGGATGGGCTGGAGTTCCCTGAATACGACGGTGTGGACCGTGTGGTCAATGTCAACGCCAAGAATTACAAGAACGTGTTCAAGAAGTACGAGGTGCTGGCGCTGCTCTACCATGAGCCCCCCGAGGATGACAAGGCCTCACAGAGACAGTTTGAGATGGAAGAGCTGATCCTGGAGGTGAGTGGGGGGCGGCTCTGCAAGCCCTGGCCGGCGAGTGCACACACCCACTGAGGGGGACGCAGGGGGCGAGGGGCAGTGCAGCCACAGACACTAGGAGCATGTGGCCTTAGCCGCATGCGAAGGGAGGCTTGGAACCCAAAGTTCCACCCAGTCAGGCCATCGTGGGACGGAGGGGCTGCAGGGAGACCTCACCTCCGCGCTGCCAGAGGCTGGTGGCACTGGGTTTGGCCAGGACCGGGTGTCCTTGGAAGGGGAGCTCAAAAAGAGAACGGGACACTTTTCAGAGGCAAGGGGAAGAGCCACACTGTGGGGCACCGTGGCCCCAATCTAGTTTCCCAGCTGGACCGTGCCCCTCTGCACACTGTGGGGACCGCACCCCAAGGAGACCCACTCGGCATGAATTTTAAATGCTGTTCACATCTTATTTGCACAGCATCTACTTCATGGCCCGGGGTGAGGGGGGCTCATAGAGACCACTGTGGCCTCAGTCCCTCTCCCTCGCTCCCTCTCCTAAGTCTCCTCCCCTGCCCTGACTGGGCCAGGCTGGACGCCCTGGTTGGGAAGTTCTTGCAGAACACCTTCCCCGGCTTCTCCTCGTGGGACCATTCCTCTCACCCCCAAGGGGACTCCAGAACCAGAGAAGAAGCCTGTGTTTGGGGACATGGGGACATGAGGGTCACACACACTCCCCATCCTTGCACAAGCATGGCTTCTTACCCAAGCTTCTGCGGCCCCTGCCCTAGCCTGGCAGCACGGACCAGCCTCAGCCCACCCGGAGCTAGGACCGCAGGCTCCTGCGTGTGTGTGTGTGTGTGTGTGTGTGTGTGTGTGTGTATGTGTGTGTGTCCCTGTGGCTGCTAGAACCTGCCGTCTGACGAACGCCCTGAGTATTTTTATCCTGAGTGCTCAGCGTCTCTGACCATCCGCCTGCCAGCAGCCTCCCTCCCCGTCCTCCTGAGCATCCGGGCGCCAGGGTCCGTTAGCATCAGGGCCGTTAGGGTCTAGCCAGGAGGCCGAGCGGGCAGGGTCCTGTGGGAGCCAAGGGCCGGAGTAAAGAGGGGGAGGAGCACCCCACCTGTGTCCCCTCTAGTGCCTGCTCGAGTCTCTGCCTCTGAAGGTGACAAGCGGTGGCCACCAGGACTCTCTGGCTTCTCCCCCACTCCTCGTGACATGACCAGACCCCCCACACACACCTCCTGCCTTCCACAGCTCTCCCCGGTGGGGGTGACTCAGGGACTTCTAATGTCGCCCCACACTGAGCCCGGCCTTAAATCAGGATGGAGGGCAGGGCTCAGCCCCAAAGGGGGCAGGAAGGACCCCGCACATGCCCTAAAGTGCAGTATCGGAAGCGCACCTACTCGAGCAATCAGTGTCCAGGGGTCAGTGCTGGACCACAGGCCAAAGGGGCGGGCTTGCAGGGCACATGGGAGACCCTGGAGCCCCGCGCAGCACCAAGGGCAACTCTTCCATTCCCCGCACCCCAAAGGCCGCCCCCGGGGAAGCGTGAGATGGGAACGGGAGCCTGGAACTGACTTTAACCCTACGTTCCCTCCAGTTAGCGGCTCAAGTCCTGGAGGACAAGGGCGTCGGCTTCGGGCTTGTGGACTCTGAGAAGGATGCCGCAGTGGCCAAGAAACTAGGTAAGGGATCTGCAGGGGCGAGGCAGCGTGTGGGACAGGGGAGGCCTGGAGTGTGGGACGGGGAGGGGAGGCCCAGGCCAGGGACTTCGAGGGCAGCCCTTGCCTAGGCCAAGGGCCCCATGGTGCCTACTCAGAACAGGGTAGGGGGTGGGAGGGGAGAAAAGACTGAAATTGGGACGATTATCGCTGGGGTTCTAGCATCTCCTTTATTCCTTATGGAGACTCAGGCTGCAATCACAGGAAGACGTGGGGGTGGCCTTTATACTCACCTAAAAATCAGGGCTGGGTGCTGGGGGAAAGGGATGTCAGGGAACACCACCAGTGAGGCTGGAGACGCCCAGTCACACCCCTGTGTCCAGAGTGGGTCCCCCCCAGGGTTATACGCCAGCCACCAGGGAGCAGCACAGGCCTGAACTGGGCTCCGGGTGTGGCTGGGGAGGGCGGTTAGTAATGAAGTCATCTGGTCAGTAATAGCAGTGGGTTAGAGGGCTGGACCGGGAGCGAGCGGCCAGAGGCCTCCGAGGAGGTGAAGGGGCATCTGTCTCTAGTTATGGCAGCCAGAAAAGGGGAGACACCTTGCTAGACTCCATGTCTCCCTGTGTCCCCTTAACACCCCCCCACCCCCCCGCTGATCCCACTTTCTCCCGGAGAGCCCCTGGGAGCCCTGGAGATGCCTGGGCTAGAGTCACAGACACAGATCCCAGGGCTGTGGGGTGTGAAAGGGGGGCCATGGGGCGGGGGAAGGGAGAATGGAGGATGTGGGCTCCAGGGGCGCCGGGGCGGGCCCTGGACCTGTGGGCAGCCCGGCGGCCCGGCTCTGCTCTGGCTCTGGCTCACTAGGACTCACGGAAGAGGACAGCATCTACGTGTTCAAGGGAGATGAAGTCATCGAGTACGACGGCGAGTTGTCTGCTGACACCCTGGTGGAGTTTCTACTTGATGTGAGGATTCACCTTGACCTAATGGCCTTCACACCCATCCTGACCGAGGCCAGCTGAGGTCTGGCTCCTTCCAGCGAGGAGAGAACTCACTCTCTCCTTCCCTGGCCCCGCCCCCCCAGGTCCTAGAGGACCCCGTGGAACTGATTGAGGGCGAACGAGAGCTGCAGGCATTTGAGAACATCGAAGACGAGATCAAGCTCATTGGCTACTTCAAGAACAAAGATTCAGAGCGTGGGTAACTCCCAGACGCCGCTGTGCCTCCTTGGACCCCCATTTTGCCCGTCCCCCTCACCCCCACTCAGCCTGCTCTTTCCACATCTCTACGCCCTCCTCTCTCTGACCCACCTGCCCTGGGGGTGCCCAGATGGGCACCCCCAGCACCCCACCTTCCCCACTAAAGTTCAGCTGCTCTCAGGGGACTTAAGGGGTGGGTCTCAGAATGAACCCCTCTGGCCAAAGGAGCCTTGGGGAGAAACAGAGGGAACATGGGTCCCTGGCAGACCCTTGCCCCCACAGAGACTGACTCCGAGTTACTCCCGCAGATTACAAGGCCTACGAGGATGCTGCGGAGGAGTTTCACCCCTACATCCCCTTCTTCGCCACCTTCGACAGCAAGGTCCTCCTCCTCCCCCCATATGGGGTACCCCCTCACTCTCCACAGCTGCCCTTCAGACCTCTCTCCCAGAGCCTATGGTCCCTCCCTACACAGGACACTCCTCACCCCACCCCCACCTCAGGCCTCTCTCACGAGTGGGCCCCAAAGATTTGAGATTCTCTAAGCCACCCCTCTAGCACTCAGCCAAAGCCCAGAGCAGTTGAGACGCTTGTCCCTTGTCACGGTGGCAGTGACAAGGACCCAGGCTGTCTAACTCCCTTCCTAAGATACGGTCCCCGGGATACCGTGACACCACCTCTCCCCGTGACCCACATCCCCTGCTCCACTCCCCTCCGCCCCCTCCCCCAAAGGTGGCAAAGAAGCTGACCCTGAAGCTGAACGAGATCGATTTCTATGAGGCCTTCATGGAAGAGCCCGTGACCATCCCAGACAAGCCCAACAGCGAAGAGGAGATTGTCAGCTTCGTGGAGGAGCACAGGAGGTGGGGAGCGGGGAGCGGCACACCCCTCTGTGAGGTGGGCTGGGGGGGTCTCAGCCAGCCAGGAAGCTGGTCTCGCTCGCTGGGGGATGAATGCCCTCTGAGTACCAGTGCCCACCCACACACCGGCTGGGTTCCACAGTATTTCACACCCTCTCTAGCCCGGAGCCCTACACACTGATGCTGCACAGCCGCGTTCCGTTCACTGTGATGTTGACTGTGACTGGTGCTCACGGTCTGTGGTCTGCCAGGGCCCCCGAGGGGCTTTCTGTCCCTATTATTAGAGTTAATCCTTTCAACAACCTCAGGCAAACACACTCAACAGGTAGTGGGTGTCAGAATGGGATTCTAACCCAGATCCAGCCTCCGTGCTTCCTCATCGTTACTGGGTCCCTGTGTCTCTGGACAGGGGTGGGGGGACTGGCCAAGCGGGGAGGATTCCACCCTCCAGGGGACAGCTGGCGATGTGGGAGACATTTTCGGCTGAGGAGAGTGCCACTGCTGACATCTCCAATGTCCCCAGGACGGCCCCCCCCCCCACAACAGAATTGTCCAGCCCCAAAGGTCAGCAGTGCTGAGGTGGGGAGACCCTGCCTGCACCCCACAACTGGAAATACCCACACGTCAGTGTAAACACCACCAACTCTCACTCTCCCCACTAGACCCTGGTCCCCTCCATCGGGGCCGGGCCGGTCAGCTTCTCCCAGCCCCATCTATGTGGCACCCAGCACGGTGCTGAAACTTCTGAGGCCCTCGGCTCTCAGTGAACGAGTGATGCCCAGATGCCCAGGCCCTACTGTGCTCCCAGAGGCTCTCTTCAGGCCGCTGGCCTGCTCTCGGCTCTCCCACCTGCTTTAAGCGGGCAATGATCAGATCCGGGCCTGGTGCCCAGAGCTCAGATTTGGCCAGATGGCTTTGTTCCGGGCTACAAGCTGCCTGTGCCCTAGGCTTGACCCAGAGGCAGCCTCCGCGGCAAGGGCCATCGGGGAGGGCATCCTTCTCGCCCACTGAGTAGTGACTGTCTCTTCTAGATCCACCCTGAGGAAGCTGAAGCCCGAGAGCATGTATGAAACCTGGGTGAGTGTCCCCTGGATGGGGCTGGGCCCCTGGGGGAGCACTCAATCCTAGGAGCATCCCCAGCCTATTGTGTCCCGTGCTTGCTCTTGCTGGCAGGAAATCGATGCCCCGGCAGAGTTTGGAGGGTTTTGTTCTGAAGAGTGTGCCATGAATTGGGAGACCCACAAAAGCTGTTAAAGAAAACAGGGGAGGAGCCCCGAGATCTGGGGCTAAAAAAGGTTTGCTAGCAGGGGTGTGGGGGCCCTGGAGCTGAAGCCAGCCATGTCACTTGGGACAGGGCCACCACCACAAGGACGTACCTGATCCAGAAGCTGGATTTCCATAAAACTCAGGTTCAAGGAAGATGTAGGGTGTGTCTGGCTCCCTAACTTCGGGGAGTACAGCTAAGCCCCCCTCCCCCTAACAGGAAGACGATATGGACGGAATTCACATTGTGGCCTTCGCAGAGGAAGCTGATCCTGGTGAGGGAGGAACGCAGGGTTGGATGGGGGGGCACCGGTGAGAGGGGGACATGGGCGGTATTCCTGGGGATCCATGTGCAGGGGCAGGCGGTGGGGGGCCATCAGGACACCTGCCGCCTCTGTGTCCCCGTCTCCTCTGCCCCACCTAACACTTTGTGCCTATGTTCCCCGCAAGATGGCTACGAGTTCTTGGAGACGCTCAAGGCTGTGGCTCAAGATAACACGGACAACCCTGACCTTAGCATCATCTGGATCGACCCCGATGACTTCCCGCTGGTAAGGGGCTTGACTCTCCGGAGGCAGGGACCAGCCCACAGCGGCACTTTCTGAGAGGAGCTTCCTTCAGGGTCCCGGCCCCAACTCCTGCCCCGAGGACCTGGGGAGGTTATGTCTGGTGCAGGCTCAAGGGCACTGCAGACGCCCTGAAAAGCAGGATGGGAAGCGAATCGCACAGAACATAGCACCCGACTCCCAGAGCAGAGGCGAGGCGGGTAGCTCGTGTGCCCAGGGCTGACTCCTCCTACAAACACCCAGAGTTTTGGGGGGGCACCCTAATCCTGCAGATGAGTCTACACAACCACAGAGTCAAAGCACAGGGATCCCAGCTTTGTGCCCAGCCGGATCCCCCACACCTAGCTCTCACCGTTTGTTTGTTTTGTAAACATATTTAAAAAAATTTTTAATGTTTATTTACTTATTTTTTATTTTGACATTATTTATTTTTGAGAGACAGATTGCGAGCAAGGGAGGGGCAGAGAGAGAGAGGGAGACACAGAATCTGAAGCGGGCTCAAGGCTCTGAGCTGTCAGCACAGAGCCTGACGCGGGGCTCAAACTCATGAACCATGAGATCATGACCTGAGCTGAAGTCAGATGCTTAGGCAACTGAGCCACCCAGGCACCCCAATGTTTGTTTATTTTTGAGAGGGGCAGGGGAGGGGCAGAGAGAAAGGGAGACACAGAATCTGAAGCAGGCTCCAGGCTCTGAACTGTCAGCACAGAGCCCAAGCAGAGCTCAAACCCACGAACCGTGAGATCATGACCTGAGCCAAAGCCCGACACTTAACCGACAGAGCCACGCAGGCGTGCCCCTAGTACTACTCATTGTTGAAAGAGCGAATGAATGGAAATGTGAGGAACGTTGGCAATTACCAGGGATAATGACCTCAGTTTAGAGATATAGAAGCTGAGGGTCATTGAGAAGTGACTTGCCCAAAGTCACAGGTCACGCAGTAGCGGATCCAGGATCAGGAAGCAGGGGTTTCCTATGCAGTTTTCCTCAGAAAGGAAAGGCCAATCTTCAGCCCACCCTCCTGACACTTTCTTTCCCTTTGGGATTTTTACCTGTCGCTGCTTACCACCACTCCTTCCCTTTAACCCTACAGCTGGACCTGTCCCCCATCCACATGGGTTCACAGGGACCTTCCTCTTCCCCTGGGCAGACCCCCGCACCCACCCTCCTGGCCTCATGCATCCCTAGACTCTGCTAAGTGGCCACACGTGCTCTCTTCACAGCTGGTGCCATACTGGGAGAAGACATTTGACATTGACTTGTCGGCCCCGCAAATAGGAGTCGTCAATGTTACTGATGTGAGTCTGCTCCCCTCCCCGACTCTGCCTCCCAGCCCAGCTCGCACCCCCTGCTCTGCTGACTGGGCATTGAACCCTGCCCAGAGGAATGAGATGCCACTGGGTTCATGGCTGGGGGAAATGGGGGAGGCTCTGGCCCTGAACACGCTGCTGTTAGAACTGGCTTGGCACCCCCAGGGCCCGGGTCACATCCTGTCTTCTCCATGAAGTATGCTCAGACCCCCCATTGGAGTCCCTCCCCTCCTCCGCACTCCCAGAGCCCACTTGGCGTTGAGAACGTGACTTCTCTGTGGCTCTTTGTGTATTACGTCTGCCCCTCCCAGCCGGCTCCAGGCTCTTTGAGGGCAGCAATCTTCTCGTTCCTCGTGGCAGGTGCCTCAGTCGTGTCTGCAGAGGTGAACTGAGTAAAGCCACAGTCTTTGCGTTAATACAATCGTTAGTCTGACCGGAGACACAGGTGTTCTGTTAACTACGCTGCCGGATCTTGTAAACTCTAGCATAAAGAGCCCATAAAATGCTAGGGAGGCACAGAAATCAAAGCTAGCTCTGCTGGAGAGAATCCGAGAGAAGGCTTTCAAAGGAGTGGCATTTAAAGTGGAGCCTGGACAACCTATATGAGTCCCCCACACGGAGGTTATGTGGAGTCAGCCCCAGACCGATGCAAAAGTTAGTGCTAAAGGTCAGACGTAGGAAAATGAATATCAGGTTCTGGAAAGGGAGGTCTTTTTTTTTCTTTTTCTTTCTTTTTAATGGCTTGAGAGTCAGGAGGTTTCTGCAGATGGTGCTGGAAAAGCAGGTTAGGAAAGCCTTGATCTGAAGGGCTGCTGGCTCTGCTCTCTGGCCACAAGGAGCCACCAGTGGCCCCACATCAAGGGCAGGACAGGCGTGTTAGAGAGGCTGAGGGAGAAGCTCTCCCAGCCAAGCCACCTTCTCCGTCACCGTCCCAGCCCAGACCTTCACCTGGACAGCTCCCCTCGGCCATCACAGGTGCAGGGAAAGGGCAGAGGATGCAGGGGCGCAGGGAGCCTGGTGAGTGGGCGGACGGGTCTGAAGGCCTGAGTGGGGCTTAGCTCGAGGGCCCTGTGTGTGCCTCGCCCGCAGGCGGACAGCGTGTGGATGGAGATGGACGATGAGGAGGACCTGCCTTCCGCTGAGGAGCTGGAGGACTGGCTGGAGGACGTGCTGGAAGGCGAGATCAACACAGAGGACGACGACGAAGAGGACGATGATGACGACGACTAGTCCCAGCCCGCCCGCTCTCCTCCTTGTGATCTCCCTCTGCCTCCCCCGTCCTCTCCCCGCCCCCCCGGGCACCTCCAGGGACACCGGGTCACTCTCTGCCCTGGGGCGCGCCGGGGTCCGCCGGCTGAGTGCCAAGCCCCTCTTCCCCCACGCGCCAGCCCGGTCACCTCAGCTGACCCGTTTCCCGTCCCACGGTGGCCCTGTGGCCACCATTCGTTTCTTCCCTCATTCGGTACATCCTCCCCGTGATTCTTTCCTCCTCGGTTCCCTCCGTCTGCACACACTCTTCCCCACACTCTCAAACCCTACATCCTCCTGACTGGCCCGTCCCGGCCAGGAGGAAGGGCGGGCCCTGTGTTTGGGGCTGGCTCTCAGCGACCTCTTCTTAACGTATTTGGGTCAAATGAGAGGCCTCAATAAAGGATCTGGGGCAGCATGAGCCGGTGTCTGCTGAGGCCTCCCCCCGCGGCAGGAGGGGGAAGCCGGAGGATGGGGCACATGGGTGGGGGGGGGGGTTAGGTGTGAGGGCCCTGTGATAGAAGGGGGGGCTCCCTCCAGGCAGTCATCCCAGACAAGAGTGGATTATCTATCTGCTACAAGTCCACAGGCTTTGCCTCCGCGCGGCTCGCAGGCTCCCGGAGAACACAGAGTGCCGGGCCTGCCCCTGCTCGTGAGCTGATTAGCCTCCTTGGGAAGTCGAGAGGAGCAACTAAACAACTGAAGAGAAATACAAAGCAATAAGTAATTAAGTGATTACGTGCTGCTTGATAGCGCCCTCCCTGCAGCCCTTATTTGAATGTCAGGACTGAGCCCAAATAACACCTCCCTGGTGAGGCCTTCCCGGAGGCGGCCCCTCCTGCGCTTCTCTCCTCTGGGGGTCATACTGCGCACTCTCCACGCTCCTCCAGTCCTCACTCAGTTCCACGTAGCTTAGATCTTTACTTACATGTCTGTCTTCCCCACTGGACTGGGGGCTCCTTTTCCCCCGTGCCCACAGGGCCTGGCGCCCAAAACGTGGTCCTTAACAAATGTCGGTTGAAAGAAGGAACAAATGAACAGGAGGGCTCAGAAGAGAGAGGTCACAGGGGGCTCTGATGTCTTCATAGAGTGAGCATTTTCTAGACCTTCGATAAAGAGTGGGGTTGGACGGGGCCAAGGACGCTGCAGTCAGAGGGAAACCTGAAAAGCACTGGCAGAACGTGGTTATCATGTGGGGGGCACAGAACAGACCAGAGACACAGCAGAGGTGGACGTTCAAGCGGTGGCCGTGAGGATGCGTGGGCATGGCCGGTTGTGGAGGCAGTTTGAATTCAACCCTGTGGCAGTGCCCAGAGGGATGGGCAGGGGGAGGGGAGGGGGCGGAGACAGGGCAGTGCCCAGAGGGATGGGCAGGGGGAAGGGAAGGGGTGGAGAAGATGCAGGGGCCCGACTCTCACACTCAGAGGCCACCAGAAGAGTCAAGGTGGAATTGGGGAAGCGTGGCCCATGAGTGGCGGCCCCAAATAGAGAGGAGACATTGAGCTTCATACACCAGGGATCCTCCCTCCCCTGAATCTGGGCTGTTGGGGCTCCTGCCAGGAGGGGCCCGCACTCTGTCCAGCACGGCCCAGGCCGGCACAGGGAGCTTACAATCTAGTGCAGGTCACTGGAAGGCCCCCGCACAAACTAGTAGCTTCTAGGTTTCAAGTGCCCATCTGTGCCAGTCCTCAGAGACGATTTCTGACTCAGAAGAACTCTGTCAGACAGGCGTCAGCATCCCCATCTCACAGGTGAGGACACAGAGTCTCAGAGCCAGCTTGGAGCCCAAGTCCCCTCCCGAGGCCTGCTGCCTCGGGAAGGCCTGAGCCTGTCACTGACTGTAGACCCTCCACTGAGTCTGAGTCTTAACGACAGGTCAGTGAGATGATTTTTGGTCCCACAACACAGAACAAACGAGACATCCTCACAGGCAGATTAGAGGCGGTCTTACTAGGCACCCGCAGTGCCAGGAGACGGCCATGAGGAGGAGAGAGAAGGGCCATGGAAAATCCAAAGCGGCAGGAGCATGAGCCTCTTTCGGGCAGTGTAGACCAAGAAAGCAGGGGCTCACGGAGGCCTGAACTGCCAGGCCAGAACTGAGGGAGGCCAGGGGACGCTTCCCGAGGTGGCCCGGGCACTGGTGGGGCTCAGACCCCTTCCCAGGGCCAGACTCTGCCAGAGTTGAGGCAAGAGACCCCAGGCTGGAGAGATGGGGTGCAGACAGATGCTTCCCCCCTTCTTCCTTCCCTCTTTCAGTCTGGCTGAGAATCTGGGGGAGGAAAGTCCCGAGGGGTGGAGAGGAAGTTGAGAGCCTGCGGGTGCTGGGCCTGGGCAGAGAGGCAGAGCTAGGAGACAGAGCTAAGTGTGGCTTTGCAAGATGTCTATATTTGCATGCTGAGCTCACTGCTGCTCTTTTTCTCCCCAGAAAATAAAATTACATCATGGTGGGGGGGAAGGCAGGAGGGCGGTATATTCGGGAAAGGTGAGAGGAACACAACCGGGCATCACCCGAGGAGAGAAAAGATCCGGGCTCCAGGTCAAGGCGACGAGGCCTCGTGTGGCTTCCCGCCTGCATCCCTACCTACCCCTGCGCCCCCAGCGTGGAGAAGCCCGGGCCGTCCTTCGGTCCCTGGCTAGCGGCCCCCTGACCTAGAAGGGGAGGAGAGAGGTTTTCCAAGCACAAGTCGGCCAGCTAAGAGGATCGGAGGCCCGAGGCCCTCCGAACGCCTAAGCCCTAACTCACCCTGTGTCCCCAGGGTCCCACCCGCCGCGGCCACCGAAAGGGGACGAGGGTGTCCCGCTGCGAAGGAACGAAACCCGAGAGCGGGGGTCCCGCAGTGCCGGGGAGGGCGCGGGCAGCGGCCCTCGGCAGCCCACCCGCGAGCCCTCCCCAAGCCCCGCCCCCGCCCCGCCCCGGCGTGACGTCACCGGCCGGCCGGGCGGGGCGCGCGGGGCTCGGACTCGGGCTCGGCGGGCGGAAGCTGCGGCGGCGGCGGCGGCGGCGGCGGCAGGAGCGGCGGGAGCCGAGGAGGAGGCTCCGGACGCTGCCCAGGAACCGGGACGCCGGAGAGCCGCGCCCTGAGCGCTCAGCCCGAGGCGGTGAGAGGCGGGCTGGGGGCGGGGGCTCGCGGGGAGGGGGCGGCTCGGGGTCGGGCGCGCAGGGGCGGCGACCCGGGGCCGCGGGGGGGGGGGCGTCCGCGACCGGGGTGCGGGGCCAGGCCCGGGGACACTCGGCGGGGAGCCCGCTTCCCGCGCGGGTCGGCTCGGCCAGGAACCCCGCCGCGGCCCGCGGGCCACGGTGGGACCGGCGGGCGCGTGTCCGGGGCAGGGGGGCGGGAGCCGGGGGGGCGGGGAGGAGCCGCTAACGCGAAAAGCCCTAATTTCCTACAGTCCGTGTCGGAAGCGACAGGGACACGCACACCTACGAGAGACACGCCAGCACACACGGTGACACACACCCATGTGACTCTTCCACACATCGCTTCGCACACAGCAAATCACAAACGTCCCTGCACTACACATCCATCCCCTCCCCCCACGGCCTCCATGTGCACGTCCCCTGGAAGAACATCTGTCTGTGGGACAGCTGAGTGGGGGCCCCTGTCCCCAGGCCACCCTGATTGTCTGGGCACATTCTCCGAGCCCCGGGCTTCAGGTTGCCCCTCTTTAAAACAGGGGCAAGATGGGAGAAAATCGTGGGCTCGCGCCCGGGACAGGGAGACGGGATCTGGAGTGAGTGAGCCCGCCTGGCGTCCGCCCGACGCTGGGGGAGCGGGGAAGGTCAGGGGCTGCTGGTGGCCTCTCCCCCTGGGCCCACTGGAGCCTAGGGTGCTGGGGGCGGCTGCTTCCTGCGCCCCGGTATGGCCCAGGGATGGAGGAGGGGGTGGGAGAAAAGGAGAGGGAGAAAAAGAATGAGTATGAGTCAGCCAAGGATGGAGCCCAAGTCTGAGAGAGAGAGAGAGAGAATGAGGAGAATGTGTGCGAGGGACAGGGACACAGTCGGGTCGGGAGGGGAGGAAGCGAGGCCGAGATGGTCAGAGGAATGGGAAGAGGGCTGGGGGCTGGGCTGCCCGGCCTCCGGGAGCCAGGACCCAGCGTAAGCAGGATGGGGTGAGGCCACGGGGAGTTCGAGAAACGTGCTGAATGTGTGGGTTTTGTTTCTCGACGAGTCTGGCCCCCAGGCTGTCAGAGCGATTAGCTTTAATTGCTCTCCCCTTTGTAGCTAAACACTCCGTTGGGGAAATTGCCAGAGACGCCCTAGGCTGCCCACTGCCCTGGTTGCTTACTTCCTCACTGCCCCCCACCCCACACCTGTGCCCGGCATGTGTGCATGTCGTCATGCGTGAAGAGGGCCACGGAGTCACACCCGCCCTGCCCGGCCGCCCCCTTCCCTATGGACCCTCATGAGCCACCTGGATGCAGCCAACCGATTCAAGCCCCTCCCCCCACCCCAAGCTGATGCTCTTCTGTGCAGCAAGGAAGCTCCCTGCTTCCTAAGAGTGTAGTGGCCCTGAGTGTTCAGAGGGGGACACTGAGTCACAGACCCCAGTGGTCCTCAGTACTCAAGGCCACCACCCAGTGAGACGGGCTGGAAGCCCACTGATAGAACAGGAGGGAGAGAGCGAGAGACTGGAGGGAGGAGTTCGATGAGCTGGAGAGAAGGGAAGGAAACAAATAGGAGTGGGAGGGACCCCACCAGCACAGTGGCCAGCACTCGGCCCCCCTCACCGGCAGGCAGCCCTCTCTGCCCGGCCCTCCCCGATGCCAGAGATCTCCTGATGCCCCCATCTTGGGGGCATCTGTCTTCTCTTAGACTGAGAGCCGAAGGCTCAGCGCCGGCTCCGTGCCCAGGGCTGGCGCATTTGGCTTCTCAGCCTGAGGCCCAGGTATCCTCTCCCCACTCATTCCCAGGCTGGCATTCCCAGGGCCCCCTTCTTCCTTTGTTACAGGAATAAAGACACTCCCCGCCCCCCAAAGCTGAATGGAAGCCAAGGGAAGAAGTCCACTGAGTGGGATATTAAAGGAACCATTGGGACTAGGACTGCTTGAACTTGGGGCCCAGGTAGAATGGGCTCCCTGCCCTCCCTCCCCGCCCGTCCCCATCCCCAACCCAGAATACGGGTGGCAAGAGGGAGGCAGAGAGACCTCTGCCACCCCCCACTCTGGCAGCTGCCACCGATGTGGGTGTGGGGTGGGGGAGGGCAGGCTTTCTTCTGAAGTTTACTGGGAGTTTGGAACCACACGGGAGAGGGGATGGTCATGAAGTATTGTCCCAAGGCACCAGCGGTTACCCCATCTGCTAGGCTTCTCAGGGTGCCCTGGGGCCTGCTCCTTCGGCCCCCCGGTGCCCCAGGGCACCCACCTGTCCTGCTCTAGGCCCCTACCCCAAGGCCAGCATGTAACTTCCCTCCTGCCCCTCTTCCGCCAGCATCCTCAGTGGGTTCCACCTTTGTCAGGGCTCCGCCTGGGGCCAGCTTGGAGGGACGGGGAGGGAGGAAGGAAAGAAGGAAGGAAGGAAGGAAGGTGTGAGGAAGCAGTGAGCAGAGCCCAGAATGATCTGGGAGGGAAGGGGACTGACTTCCTGGCAGCCTCAGCTCCGGTCCTGGTTCCTGCCCTGGTATCCTGTCTCAGGAATGGCCTCCGCCCAGGCAGCCTCCCAGGCAGCTCCACGCTGCTCCGGGGACCCGGAAGCCTTTTCAGGGCTGGGAGGGGAGCCCTGAGGAGTCCTGAGTCTTGGTGGGGAGAGTGACAGGGAGGGCAAAGGGGCCCAGTGTCTGCCAAGCCCCACCACGGCCACACCGCCCCGGGGACAGTGGTTATCCGTGAGACTTGAGAGCCGCGTTAAGGAGGTTCCACTTCCTTGCACCCCAAAAATTCCCCAAGGGGCTGCCCCGCCCAGGCCTGGCTGGACTGAGCTCTCCTGGGAGGCAGCTACCAGGCCGCCTTTCCCACTCCCTCAGGGGGCCTTACTGCCTGCCTCTGTCCCTCCTTGCCGCTTCCACACCCCTCCCATCCAGTGGTGTCATTGTCCCCACCGCTGGGGGGGGGGCAGAACTGAGGTCACCATGGTAACCGCAGAGTCCCTGCACCCTCCCCTAGGATCCCTCCTTTGCAGTCTCCTTCCCTCTCCCAGCCCCTGCTCTTCCTCCGTTCTGTGGCCCTCCTCACCCTTCCCTTCTCTCTGTGATTATAGAGCTTACACATGCGTGCAGCGTTCACACACACACACCTCGTACGCTCACCGCCACACATCCAGCCCTAGCACGTACACATCCATTCCCAGAACACGCACGCACCCCCACACCCCGCCACTGCCTCCTCCTGGTACCTGCGCCCACGCCCCTCAACATCCCCCCCCCACCTCCGCGCCTCTCTCTGGCCTCCTTGTGTCTGCTTGGCGCTCTTAGAAAGCTCCTACCCACCGCCCCCTCCTTCGTGGGTGGCTCACTCACACACATTAATCCCTCCCCGCCCGCCTCCCCTGGAAGTCTGGGCTTTAGATTCAGAGCCCTAAACCCGAATTCCTTCCAGGAGATACACACACACTCTCCTTCCACAGGATCTAGTTACGTCTCTTCTTCTGTGTGAAATTGGACAGGAGGACCCTGAATGCCGTCCCATTTTCCAGCTGGGGGCTTGGTCCCAGGGTCTCCCCCACGGGGGCGGGGTCTTCTTAGGGACACCCTGCCTCCTTCCTATGCTGCTCCTTCCTTTTGAGCTTCCTCCACCCCCACCCCATTACTATTCTCATGCCTGGACCCCCTGCCCATCACTCCCCTCTCCTGTCCCGGGATTATCAGAGGGGTGGGGGGCTGGGCTCCGGAGCCTGCTGCTGTGACCTAGATTTCAAGGCAGAGACGGCTCCTGGTGCTGACAGTCAGAGAGCATTGTTCCCGGCTCGGCCTGGCGGGCCGCTGCTGGGCCCCCGCTGGGCCCCCTGATGTCTGCTTGCACCTGGGTGTGCAAGTGAGCGTGCCTGTGAGTTCCTGTTCCTTGTGGGGGTCTTGCTGGCCCTGTCGCCTGGGCTCATTGTGTGTGTGTGTCACGGTGCCTGCCACCAAGGGAGGCTTGTTTGTTCTTGTCCAAGTAGGGGGCTGGGAATGTGGACTTCTGGGGCCACGCCTCTTACTGTGCCATGCCTCTCTGCCTCAGTTTCTCTGCATCTAGACCAGAAATAAGAAAAATGGGCCAAAGCCAGCCCCTCGCCCTCTGCTACATTCCCAGCCCAGTATTGGAGTGGTTTGTGGTCCGTCCCTGTCAAGTACAAGGTCGTCTAGCTCCTTGCCCCAACCCTTGGTTCATCCAGAGTTTATGATAGAGCTTACTTTTTAAAATCCTTCACTTTTCTGATTATAAAAGAAATATATATTCATGGCGGGGGGTGGGGAGGGGAAGGGGAGCCCTTTTTAAACTCACCCTTGGAGCTCCACATCTTAGCATATCCAGAAAGTTCATTCTAAGGTCTGACCTTCCTCCCGTCTTAGTCATGCTTCCTACCTAGTGGGGAGGGCCTTGAATGTTCTCTACCTTTCCACTTAAAGATCTTCATGAAAGAGGGGTGGGGTGAAGGCCGAGATGAGCCCCAGCCTCGCCCAGCCCACTCCAGGAGCCCATCCTGAAGGTGGTGGCAGCCCCTTTCCTGCCAGACTCTCCCAGAGCTGCCTCAAAACCCCTTCCCCTGCCACCCAGCCAGCCTGGGAACTGGGCAGGGGGCCAGAGCCAGCCGCTTGGTATTCTGGGGCGCGGGGGCTGCGGGCGTAGCACAAAGGCTAGGAGAGAGGGCTGTGCGGAGGCCCGGCAGCCATCAAGGGAGAAGCGGGCTCCACAAAGGTGGGGGTGGCCTGTTGCTTCCCCCTCCCTGCCCACCCGGGCCCTAAGGACTGAATACACTGGGGCAGAGGGGCCAGGGGACCGTTAGAGCAGGCACCTAGGCATCCATCCAAAATGACTCATTAGTGGGGTGGTGGGGAATTGAAGTGAGGGACCCCTTTGCTTCTGGGGAAGAATGGGAGCAAGAACACATGAGCTCTAACCAGACACCCCCCTCCTACCCCTCCTCAGCTTCTCCCTGCCACAGCCTGCCTGCCTGCCTCTCCCTGATGGCTGTTTTGGAGTGTTGTGGAGTTTTGTTTTTTTTTTGACAAGGGGAGGGGTTGCAGGTGGGTGGGGCGATTCTGGGGGGGGCCTTGGAGGCAGTGGGTGAGAAAGTCTGGAGCAAGTTGCCATGGTAACCGCCTCCTCAGTCAGGGGAGCTGTTGCCAGGGTTACTGCTGGTGGGGGGAGAAATGAGAAAAGATGGGGGGGAAGGAGGTGTGACTTGTCACTCTAGGCTGAAGCTTGGCCCCTAGCTTCTCCGTGTCTCTTCCTGACTACTCCCACCGCCCTTTGGTCTTCATTTTCTCCCTCCAGCCCGGCCCTCCCCAGCCTCCCAGCCTCCGCCCGGCAGCCAGGCAGGGAGGGAGCTGGTGGAGGGAGTTGCCGGTAAGGAGACCTGACGGGCACCTGTCCCTTTGTTCCTCCCAACCCCAGTCATGGCCGAGTACGGGACCCTCCTCCAGGACCTGACCAACAACATCACCCTTGAAGACCTGGAACAGCTCAAGTCGGCCTGCAAGGAGGACATCCCCAGCGAGAAGAGCGAGGAGATCACCACTGGCAGTGCCTGGTTCAGCTTCCTGGAGAGCCACAACAAGCTGGACAAAGGTGGGCGGGGGCGCCGGCCGCTCAGTCCCGGGTCAGGGCCCCCTGGCCAGGCGCGCTCCTCTCTGGCAGGATGGGAGGGGGGGAGAGGAGGGGGGGTCCGTACGTGCTCACGGTGGCGCTCAGACACCACCACTGCGCTATTATCAGATATGTAACCACACATTGAAACACAAGTTAAAAGCGATAAAATTAGAAGTAAAACCCCAAGTTCTGATGATTTCATATCCACTTTTTGAGACCACTGCTCCGGGAGTGGCTTTAGGGGGGAGTTGGGATGTTAAGATAGCCCTGAAAGGCAAGTGGATTTCGAAGGCAGGGTCCAAAGCAGGGCATGCTTGGCCAAGGACCACAGTCACAGAGGCGGGAGTGTCTGGTGTGGATGAGCAAGGGGATCCTGTTTAGCTTGGCGGCGCCTAGGGACACTTAGCAGTGGCTGGAAGGGTAAGTTAAGGCTGCGCCCTTGAGGGACGGGGTGTTGGGTTGGCGGGTGAGTGTCTGCCTGTAGCGTGGTGAGCAGTTGGGAGGTGGCTGCAGGGTCAGGGGGAAGGAGCCAGGGAGGAAGGACCAAGGGTGTCTGCCGTCTAGAACTGGCCCAGCCACGCAGAGCATCCTTCTGGCCACGTCTGTGCCTGGTCTCACTGGGCCCAGAAACCTCTCCTGGCTTGTCTAGGGCCTGCACCCCCACACGTGCTGTGGGGAAATTCTTTCTGATGCTGACGTGGAGTGGAAGGGATTCAGGGTGGGGGTGGGGTGTCGGGAAGGCCAGTTAATTTTGCTGTCCTCCTCCCCCCGCCACGTGGAACCTGGTATTCAGCCCGAATCCCTCCTTCTAAATCCCTAATTTTTAAACTTCACTGACCAGCCACCTGCTCTTCCCGGGAAGTCCCTGTACTTACAGTTGGTTCTTTAGCTCTCTTGCCCTGCTCGGTAGCCCCGCCCCTCCCAGGGGCGTGCCCTCTGGCAGCCAGTGGGAGCGACTCCGCCCTGGTGCCTTGGTTCAGGGAGCCGGGTCTGGTGGGGCAGGGGGCGGGGCCTCTCCCGCCTGGCTGACCGCGGCCCGCCTTCCTTCAGACAACCTGTCCTACATCGAGCACATCTTCGAGATCTCTCGCCGCCCGGACCTGCTCACCATGGTGGTGGACTACAGAACCCGTGTTCTGAAGATCTCCGAGGAGGACGAGCTGGACACCAAGCTCACCCGCATCCCCAGTGCCAAGAAGTACAAAGGTAGGAGGCCATGCCTTTGACGTGCACCTCTGCCCCTCCCGTGGGTGATCCTTGGAGCACTGGACTTTGGGGCGAATGGAGGCGGATGCGGTGGGCCTGCCTGGTGGCTCCCACGCCTCCCGACCCTGGACTCCTCCCGACCCTGGACTCCTCCCTTTTTGCCCCCAGACATTATCCGGCAGCCCTCTGAGGAAGAGATCATCAAATTGGCCCCGCCACCGAAGAAAGCCTGAGCGAGGGGAAGAGGAGGAAGGTTGGACCTTCACTGGACCACTCCCTTCCCCCCAGCCTCCAGGGGAGGGGCGAGGGCAACCCCTCCAGTCTAACCACTTACTAACCTGGTCCTAACCCCCTTACTGTGCGCGTGTGTGTGCGTGTGCGCACGCTCTGGCTGTCCGTCTGTATGTCTAGCTCATCTAGTTCCTCCTCCTTGTGAGGGGATGGGGGGGGTCGGGCTGAGGGGGCAGGGCTTCGTTTCCCCACTTTAGGGGGAGGTGGGGGCTATTTCTATGCAAATAGAAATGGGCACATTCCTCCTACTGCCCTCTCCTCCACTCTTCCCCCACACGGCTGAAATGTGGGAGCAGAAAGGACCTGTGTTTTCCTACACTGAGGAGCCGAGCTGGGGGTGAGGTATGGGGAGAGGTGGGCGGATCCAACGACAAGCATGGGAGGGAAAGCAGTTCTCCAACCCCCACCTGGAAGGGGCGAAGAACTGCCAGAGTTGCAAGTTTGTCCTCCCACGCCGGAGCGGCCAGCGAGTTCCCCAGCGGTTCCTCAGGTTGAAGGGCCTGGGCCCCAGCAGGTCCCACTTTGCTCCCCTCCCGTGGGCCTAGGATGGGTATGAGCCAGGGATCTAAGGAGAGAGGACCACTGGACCCTTTCCTGGCCCCAAAGTTCACACCCCATGGAGCACCCAGCATTAGATCCCCCTGCCTCCCCCAGAGCCCGTGCTGGGTGCAGGTCCCCCTAAAAGATCTGGGGAGAGAGGGGGCCCTCTTTTCCACTCCTTTATTCCTACTCAGACTGTTGCACACACGGACTCCAAACCTAGGGAGACTGAGGAATGAGCTCCTTAGGTCCTAACCCTAACCCTGTCCCACCCACAGGGTCCCAGCGTGGTCCCTACAGGCGACCCTCCCTGTCTTGGGTCTAGAACACCCCCCAGCTGGAACGAAGGGAAGAAGCTAGTGTCTTCCTTTGCACTGACCCCCCCCCCCCGCTCCCCGCCCCAGTTCAGTCCAGGAGGGGACTCGTTAACCCATCTTCCCCAGTATCCTGGCGTGTTGGGCTCGTGAATGCCTCGTAGCCAAATCACTAGAGTGCAGTGACCCCAGCCTCCTTCCTGTGCCAAGATGCGCCCCCCTCCCTGACCGTGCTAACTGTGTGTACATATATATCTACATATATGTATATTAAACCCGCACTGCCATGTCCGCCCTTTCTTGTGGTGTCTAGCGTTAACTTATTGTCTAGGCCAGGGCGGGGGTGGGAGGGGTGCCGCAGCGAAGGGAGTGCCAGTCAAGTGGCTACGGAGTCAAAATGAGAAAACTTTTTTTTTTTCATTTAAATTCACATGCGATCTCAAGAGACTAGAGAGAGTGGAAGTTCAGAGCTTTTAAGATGTCGGAGCAAAACTTCGGGGGGGGGGGGGCTGGCTGTCAGAAGAGGGAAGAAAGCCAGACTGGCAGAGAGAGCAGCCTCTATGCCCAGCCCAGCCGTCCCCTCTGGCCACCGCTGCGGACACCTGCCTTAACGCCTACACCTTGAGTACTCCACAGTTTTGCCTTAAGGACCTTCCCAAGTTTCCCTGGCCCTGGCTGGCTTCTCCCTCGAGGACAGAGAGATACTTGCAGAATTGGGAGGGGGGAACTGAGCATGAATTGTCCTTCCAGTCAGGATTTGTGAGGTGAGAGTGTGTGTGTGTAACAGACAGCGAGAGCGAGAGCGAGATAGAAGGAATAAGGAGCTTTCTCTGAAGAGAAGAGGGTGAGATGGGAGAAGGGAGACAGGGTCATTTTCAGCAGAGTCCAGTAGTATCTCTGTGAGGCAAAAATAATCTAAACAGACTAACCTGCCCTCCCGCCCCTGTGCTGCTGTGAGACCGTCCCTACCCCGTCCTCCCGTCTGCAGTGTGCACGGCCTCATTCTAACCCTGGAATAAAGGTGATTGTACTGTACCTGATTCTAGGATTTCTGTGAATGACCAGGATTCTGGAGTCTTTGCATGACTGGGAAAGGAGGGGGAGCCATACCCCAAATCCCTCACTGCAGCCTGGAACAGAGGCCAGGAAAACACCCCTAAGGGTACCCTTCCCCTCCCCTGGCTCCTGAGTAGCCCTGAGCTTTGGGGCCTGCTCCACCCACAGCACCGGAACCCGGGGCCCAGGAACATGGTGTCCGGACGGGACCTCCTCAAACCGCGAGGAGGACAGGGCCAGGCCCCCGTAGAAGGAACCAACGAGTCCATCACGAACGAGTGGGCCACATGTCACACACACAGCAGTCAGAAAGGAGAGGGGGGCTGAGAAAAAGCTTTACTGAGAGAAAATACACAACCATGTCCAGAACACATGGTTTTCAGGCCACTCCGTCACCCCGCTGCCAACAGGAACACACATGACCCCACCTCCGGGAGGAAGTGCAGCAACTCACACCTGCTCTGAGAGTTGCTAAGAAAAGGGGCAGGAGGGAGTGTCTGGGAATTCCTTCCCTTCACTCTTCCCTTCCTTCCTGGCCTGTCCTAGGAGAACTGGACTGCCCCAGGATGCAGAATTCCTGCTTGGGGGCAAAGAAACAGCAGCACAAGCAGTAAGGGCAAGAATTCAACTAGCACTTTCATGTTCAGTGACCAGTGACGAGACAGGTGCCTGAGCCCCAGCCACCTGCATCCTTGATTAACGATCTGTCCCTCGTTGGCAAGATGTCAAGAGGCGGACAAACTACAGAGGCCACCCCAGGAGGGCTTTCTCTGCTCTACTCTCCCACGAGGAAGGGGGGGGCTGCTGGGGGGCGGGGAGGTGGCTTAGGGAACCAAGCAGCTACAGGTAAGAGCGAGCGTGTCCTCTGTCACATACAGTATGAGACACAGTCTGCAGTGGCAGAACCTTTCTGAAGTCACAGTGGAGTCAAGTTTTAAAGACGGGCCAGCCTCTGGCTGAGAGCACATCCTGGGAGCACCCACAAGACCCAAGGAGAGGTAGGAGATCTGAGGCAAAGAACTGAAAGGAGCTCCGTGTTTCCCCAGCCCCGCAGCCGCAGCAGGAGGCAGGGAAGGGCACAGCCGGGGTTCCTTCGTTCTTGAGCCTCCAGAATCCCAGGGGGTCTGCAGCCATCCCCGATGATGCCGCGTGCGGAGGGCGGCCGAGCCCCGTGCCGCAGCCAGGGCAGGACTCCCGCCCTCCGTCAGTCCCTTCCCTGCAGTCACGGAGGACATCCAGGTATCCAAACTGACAAGAATTTTAACGTGATACATCCAAGTTTCACTTGCTTTTTAATATATTTATAGATATAAAATTAGGCCTCTAACAGTGACAGGGCAAGGAGACTGCTGCCACCAAACAACTTTGTTTTTAAAGTAACAGAAGAGGTAACATCCTTCCTATTCTTCCTCCACTTCTGCCCCTCCTCCTGCCGCCCCAGTCCCCCTTACCAGACCTAGTTAGGGGTGACAGGATGAAGGGAAGAGCATGAGGGACACGTAATCAAGTGTGAAACACCGCGAGAAGGACAGAAGATGAACAGGTGGGAAGGAAAGTGAAGAGTGTGGGGCGGTTAGGGGCTCTGAGAACTCCCTGGACAAACAGGATCCTGGGATGGGGTTGTTTGGGGCGGGGAGGGGGGGGGAGGGGGGTGTGCGGGGAAACAATGCAACTGTCACAGACTTAAAAAATAAAGAAGAAAAAGGTCAACAACCTAAACCAAAGAGAGAGCGGCACTTCCACCGCCCCCGCCCTGGCCCATTGGTACTGAACAGCCAGTTATCCCCACCCCCCGCCCAAGAAACAAGGGAGATTAAAGAAAAGGAAACCCCATTCCCTACCCCAAACCAGTTAACAAAATAGGCTCCCCCCTCCCAAAAAACAAGGCTTTGGGGAGAGGCCATTTCTGCTGAGCCCTCTGCACCTCTCCGCGGAGCCCACGCCCGGGCCTGGCCCCTACTCCTGGCTCCTCCGCAGGTCCACGCCCCCTCTGCTCTGTCCTTCTCCTGGGAGGTCTTTCTTTTATCTAAAGCAAAAAGTCCAAAGTGCGTTTCTGCTGAAGGTAAGGGCCTGGGACAGGAAAGGGCTGTCCAGGCAGGATCGGGGGTGGCAGCTCCGGCCTGCCCCTCCTGGGTCCGAGGCCTCAGGACGGCATGCACTGCACCCGGTCGGGGCCCTCCTCCTCGTCCGACGTGTCTGAGGAGCTGGGAGACTCATCGGAGTCTGCATCCGTGGCCCCAACCCCAGGTTCTCGCCAGCGCTGTAGAATGGGAAAGGCCTGTTAGAAGTTTCTCCAAACAAGGACAAGCCTGTTAGGTCTTAACTAGAATTCAAGTGTTCTAGGCCAGGGGTCAGCAGACCTTTTTCTTAAAGGGCCAGATAATAACTATTACAGAGTCATGGGCCATATCTCTGTTGCAGCTATTCAACTCTGCTGCTGTAGCATGAAAGCAGCCACAGACAGCATGTACAAATGGGTATGGCTGTATTCCAGTAAAACTTTATTTGCAAAAAACAGGCAGCATGCCAACTGCCAGAGAGTGCTAACCCCTGCCCTAGGCCTCTTCTGGCATAAGGAACAAGAGAAGGCCACCCTGACACTTAGTATTTCTTCCCAACTCCTTCCCCACCCTCACGCCTCTGCCGCTATGAAGATGGAAAGCAGATACCACCCGTTTCACCTGGTGGCTCTTCCAAGGCTCCATAAGGGCTCTGATGGGGATGGAGGAAAGGGGATAGGAAACCCAACCCAAACGCCCCGATCTCTCTTTAAAGTAGTGAGGAAGTGTGCACCGGAACATGGGACCCTCACGGGGGGGCCCACGGGCCCTCACCCCCCATGCCAGCTTACCCGGTGGTGGCGTCTCTGTCTCAGGTGATGCATGAGGAACCAGAGCATGTGGCTGTCAAACAGGTCAGTGTGGTGCAAGCTATCTTCATCCCGCTCCCGCTTGTTCTTCTTAATCACCTGAACCAGAAAGGCGGGGGTGGGTGGGGACCCTGGGCCCTGATCAGGAAGGACTGGCGCCTCAGCCCCATGAAATCGTCCTGTAGGAACTGCTAAGCTGAAGGGGAGCTAGATTAGATCACGAAAGGGTGCCCCAGGGTTTATCCGCTGAGAAGGTCAGGCAGCTCTAAGACAATGATTCTTCCTAAAGACACCCCTTCGCCACTCTGCCGTGAACCACGGGCCCTCCACAGCTGCCCCGGGATCCCTGCGCGGGGAATGCTCCCGGAGGCCCAATCACAACAGTGTGGGGGAGGGTGTCAGACTCAAAATGCAACGTGGACACCCGCAGTCAGCCACTTACATCCTTCAGCCCTGTCAGCTCAGTGGAAGTTTCAGCTGTGGGTGCCCAGATCTTGACATCGTGGTCCAGGCCGCTGGTTGCCAGCACAGGCAGGTGAGGGTGGGGCTCGAGACAGTTTACCTGGTCAGGAGGAAAGGAAACCACAGGCTCAGGGGTATATGGGAATAGGACTTAAAAACCGCTACTCACCTTGAGCCAAACATATTCCTCAATGAGAGCTGAGGGAGCTGCTGGGAAGGCAGGCCCAACCATCATGAGCACAGGCCAAGGGCCCTGGGGGTGGAAGAAACACTGGACACAGCCTGGGCAGGTACAAGAGCAGGCCCGTCGCTCATCTCCCAAGTTTAGGCAGGGGTGGCCTCGCCCTGGACACAGCCCTAGGGGTGGGCGGGTGACTGGCCAAGCTCACTGCTGGCTTCACAAAAAGACAATGAGGTCCAGATGACCTCATCCACTCTGGATTCCACAGTTCCAACTTGCCCAAGGCTGGAAAAAAAAACATCTCAGTGCCTTTCACCAAATGGCAAATAAATTTTTAAAAATGAAGAAAGCAGCAGCTGCCGCTGAGCCCCCAGAAGAACGAGAACAATCACATTCACTTGGCACAGTTTACTCGGACTGGAGAGGGGAACAGGTTGGGGCGGGGGGGGGGGGGGGGGGGGGGGGGGGGGGGGGGGGGGGGGGGGGGGGGGGGGGGGGGGGGGGGGGGGGGGGGGGGGGGGTGAGGCAGTGGAGAGCCCTGCAGGTCCTAGGGGCAGCATGGTGCTGTGCACCCAGAGAGCCCAACAGGCTTAGCTCCAGGGCAGCCCGGTATAGGAGCACAGCTTCCTGGGGCAACCATGGCGTCAATCTAGGCCAGCTCTGAGCACAGGGACTGCGCAGGAGAAATGGACTATGGCAGACAGCAGGCCTTCTGGCTTCAGCGGCTTCCTTCTGTCTGGAGGCACCCATGCCCCCTGCTGTCTGACTTAGAAACATCAGCCTTCTGAACAGGGCAGGGCTGGGCAGGGCAGGGCAGGGCAGGGCACACAGCTCCCAGGGCCACTGGAAGAGCTGGTCCCAGATC